GTCTTTGCGCCGGGTATATAAGTCCCTCACTCGCATCGCTCTTCTTCTCTTCTTCATCACACTCTCCTTCCATCATTTTCCAAAAAACAGATGGCACAACTTTTTCATGTGGCCTGCCTGTCTTTTTCCAAAAAGTTCTCACATTACTTACCATGGGCTGCCCCCTACCTCTTCCAAAAAACACAACAGCTTAGGGCAATGTCTGCGCCTGCCGTCCAAAAGGTCGCATAGTATCCCCATGGCCGTCGCTCTTCTTTTCAAAACAACAGTCCAAATTCACCATGTCGGAGAGCAGGGGAGCAGAAACTTCCGAAAAGTCAGAAAAGAAAATACAACGGCGACATATCTATGCATCCCGGCGCTGGTTTCTTCGTTCACACTACTACCGTCCTTGCTGGCACTTGTCTGTGTGTATAAAATCAGCGGCATCCTTTGCTATGGTCTTCTGCATCACACTTTCATTCCTGAATTACCAAAAAGGACGTTGTCTCGAATCATGTTCTGTCTCTCTTCCAAAACCTTGACGTTCGCTATCATGAGTGGAAAGACTGTCGGACTTCTGCGATATCGAAACCGCCGCTGGCTCTAGTGATGATTTCGAAAAGTCGGAGAAGTGCTCCATGTGTTCGAGAAAAACGCAGAATATCGCTTATGGAGAACGAAAAAAGTATCTAGCTTGGTTCGATGACTTCCGTGACTTCCTTCCCTCGCAAGTCGCTAGCCGAGTGGGCTCGGGTATAAAACCTCGTCTTCTTGCGCTCTCTTCCTTCCTTCTTTATCATACGTCTTCTTGGAGTTACTCAAAAAGTGCAGTACAAAGCCAGGCATGTGCGTCCTCTTTTCCAAAAACCACCAATTCCACTATGAATGACTGAGACGACCTCCGCGCTTCCCATATTCAGCCTTCCGATCCAAAAACCCACGCAATTCACGTCATGTTTCGCGACTGCGACATCTAAATCACGAAAGAAGGGAAATATGGCTGTGTGCTCTGTCGCTGGAACAAAATAAAAGGAACGTCCTGTCATGTGTGCAGGAGAAGACTAAAGAAAATCGCAGTTCTTGACATGTTCTGACCAAGTCAGCATCTTCCACGATGATGGACTCTAAAATGCAACTCTCGACAAGTCGATAGTTCTCTATCTCGGTGTTCAACTTGCCTCATTCAAACCTAAAAAGATGAAGGGAAGCTTCGATGTGGCTGGAGAAAGACCCCGCTCATCCCACACTCACAGTCTGAAAACCACTCGACATTCTCGTATGTGCCACGACATGGAAGTTCAGAACACGAGAAACATCCTGCTCATGACTCTTTGTCTCTGCTCTTCCCAAAATCAGAACATCCATCGACTATGTCTGCTGGGAGAGATCTATTTTCTCAATAGCCATCTTCCAAATAATGGATGGGAAACATTGATGTTGTGCGATCGCGTCTTCCGAATTACCGCCTGGAAGAGTATATGGTCTTCGCCTGTGTGCGAGAAGGGGGATTGATGCTGATGTATTTCTCAAACTAGGAGAGGTCTGCGAAGGGATATGGCACTCAAAAGGAAAACCCTCAACGACATGTCTGCTCCTCCTACTAATCTGACAGGTCTACACTTATGCAGTTCGAGAACGGTGGCTGTGGTCTGAGCGCAAGCCCTGGGCGTGTATAAATACCTACTGCCTTTCGCTCTGTTTTCTCTTCTACACTTCACTCTACCTCTACCATTTATTACCAAAAATCTTCAAGAGCTGTACGATGACTGCCTTCCTTCCAAAGGTTCAAACGCCTCGCTTCATGACTGAGGTCTTCCTGGGCTGTCCACGCGAAAAGGCAGACATTTATCTTCATGTGTCGCGAAGCAGACCAGAACTGTTATTTTCAATCGCATGTTGATGGTCGCTACGTGAAAGCTGTCCACAATTATGTCCACCACTTGATATGTGTGCCAGAAAGGGCGTTGCGATCTTACGATGGAATATTAAAATGAGCAGGATGACGAGGCATGACTTGTTCTCGTCCCGCGTGGTCGATATAAAAGCTCTCGTCTTCGTCCCGGTATCCTTCTCTTCTACATCCTCACCCTCGCAGGGGTTATTACCAAAATCAACATGGAAATGATGCATGACTTGCTGCTGCCCGAAAAAGCGCTCACATGTTTTATCATGGCCGTGGTCGCCGTCTGCGACATTATCAAAACCTCAGAGATTGCGTACCATGTGCGGCAACCGATCTCCGCGACCAAAAGTACAAGCTTGAATCTCTATGTGTTCTTCTCCGCTGGTGTCCTGAAAAACCTACAATCTAATCTTTTATGACAAGTGGTGGCGGTATCAAGAAATCTCGACGAATTTTTTATGTCGAGACTCTCTTCTTTCTCCCAAAAGTTAAAGCTTGTTTCTGGATGAGGTTGCCAGCGCCGCGCCTTACTGAAACACAAGGGACAAACAAGGTATGTCTCCTGTCGGAAGAACGAAAAAACTCTTGTCTGAGCTGCTCTATGTCGCAGATCGTGAGCGTGACGAGACTTTACTGAAATGTCGCAACCCAGGTTGTATGACTGGCGCTGAGCTTGTGGTGATATAAAAGCCCTGCTGTCACGCCCGTCTTTCCACTCTTCTCATACTACACTCGATTCTAGGTGCAATCAAATATTACACAGTCGAATTTATGTTCTTTCTCTCTTTTCCAAAAGCTCCGTCTAACTATTACATGAGTTTGAGATGGCGGTACCAAGCACACTTTCGCACGACTTATGACGAGTAGTTTTGAAATTTTCAGTTTATGCACATGTACAGCAGCTGGCTTCCTCAGAGACTACATGTGTCCCACCATTACCAAAATTAAACCGGTACTTGTCATGTTCCTCTCTCTCGGTGTCTCAAAAAGAGAGGTAAACAGGCTATGAGAGAAGCAGAACTCGGCAAGATACCTGCCCTTTCAGGGGACTATAAATTGCTGCTGAGGGTGCTGACTCCTCTACAACCAACGCTGTGTGACACAAAATTGAAAGTAGCCAAAATTCAAAACATGTTTGCTGCTGCTGCTCCTCTTTCCAAACCATAAGCGGTATTTGTCATGACATCCAGAGACGGCCAGCCTGTACAGTTAGCGAAACGAAAGAATCATGTTGATGGGACACAGCGTACTGGAATAAAATGGGTGTCATGATAATTTCCAGCGACTCGAGAAACGCGGGAAGGTTGGAAGCGTGCCCTCACGTATTTTTCTGGGTGGCGTTATTGGAGACAGCTGTGCATCCGTTCCTGCGCCTGTGCAACGCTGGTTTAATATACTTGGCCATGTACGTAAGCCTTCACAAAACTGTCACACGAGATATGGGGAGGATGAAGATGAAATATCGATGCATAGTATTGGCAAAGGCAGCGTCTGTACTATTTAACGAACCTGATCGATGAACCCATCGATCGGAATTACCGCTTGATGACGCCATCAAGTCCTCTCATAACGCGTGACGATTCCGTCACGTATGAACCACGCCGTTCGATGAATCCATCGAGCGTGCCCTGGAAACACCATCTATTCTCCACCATCTCACAGACCTCCACCGTAGCAGCGGAAATCCAGGCCAGCGAGATCAATACGCGTCCTCAGGGTGTAGCCTAGAGATGTAGGGGTGCTTGCTCTCATTCAACCAGAAACCCCTCTCCATCCACCCCTTTCCCTTTCGCATGTATGGCATCAGTGGCAGAAACAACATGTACAGTGCCCCCTTCGTATCCTTGCGGAGCTCGACGCAAGGCCTCGGGGCGCTCAAACCGCTGATGGAAGGATCAACGCAGAGCCGGCACGCTCTGGTTGCATGTTGGCCCTCCAAAGTCGACGAATAGTCGACGCCAATTATGCATACAGCTTGAGTGAGCATGCAATCAGCATAAGCTTTGTAGTATGTGCTGTTCTACTATTTTATGCGCAAGGCGTTGTTGAGCTATTTGTCGACTTCGCCGCGAAGGAATGTCGCAAGGTCGGCAGGAATGTTGTTGTTGTTGTGTAAGAGGATATCTCGATCATTCTCGACAGGCAGCAGTATGGCAATGGGATATTGTTTGGCCTTTTCCCCACCTGACTTGAGGGCACTGGAGGGAGTTGGAGCCAGTAGCGAACCTGAAGAGACATGCGCACGCTTTTCGAAGTCGGCACCTTCCTTGCTGGCATATGGCGGCTCGCTCGTATCTGGGCAGCGCGATTGACGTTCCGCTCGATCACTCAAGGTATGTTTGGCACTGGCCCGCCGTTTCCATACGCCCTTTGTTGGCAGTGTCTTTCGCGAGATGGCATGAACCCCTCGCAGTGTTAGCATCTCTGATTCCATTCGACATCTGGTGAGTTAATTACCGCTTGCATAGGCTGACTCTTCTGCGTCGCTTTAATTCGTTTTGACGCATAGAGGCACTCTCTTCGTCTTGCAGTGCTTCAAGAAACACGTTGGGTGCGTCGGGCACCTCGGGCAGGTTGGACCCCATCTTGTTGACGTGAATGGTATGGGGTTGCAGTTGCTCTGACGAAATGAACTAATGAGGTGTGCGCGCTACTTGGCAATCATGCTCGTGAGGGCAGGCACGAAAACTCGGATGACAAACGTTGACGTAGCTATGGTGGTTTGGGCAGGAAGTCGCACCAAGTCCGCCACACCATCTCCCACACACCACTTCTCGCAACGCCGCTCGAATCACAAGGCATGCCGCACAATCCAAGGAATCCCAGCGAGATGTCTCCAAAAGTAGTGTTGCAAAAGCTGGCCGTAACACACAGATTAATTGTACAACTAAACATTCATTGATGCCGCAACCTTTTCATATTCGCATCGATGACCTCTTCCCCTTCCTTGTGAGGTTTTCTCACGAGTTGTCCTCACGAGCGTTGACTCGCGAGCGTTCAGTCTACCTACGGGCGTTTACTCACGAGTATTTACTCACAAGACGACGACGCAGTCACCTCTTGGCCCTCCAAATAACGCACAGCCTCGTCGAAGTAGTCCTCTCTGGCATCCATCTCACCGACTTATCCGAGCAAGCTCTTCTTCAACGAGTCTGTCGAACTCTTTGCTAAGAGCGTCGAAACCATCCCCATCGACTTCTTCTTTCTTGACGAAAGGAGCAGAAGTGCGACTCACATTCCTAAGCCTCTCAGTCTCAGCCCTGAGCCGCTCATTCTCAGCCCGGAGAGCATCCATTTCCGCCCTCATCTGTTCGATCTCGGCACCACCGGCATCAGTCCGTGTTCGCTTCTGTTCAGGCTGTTCGTCGTCGTCATCCCGTGCGCGCTTGGGCAACTGAAGCGACGAATGGTGTTGCTTCCTCTCGGCAAGCGGCAGCACGCTATCGGCAAACTCGCGGTGCTCTGGGTAGTCGCGTCGAATGACCTCCAGATCGAGTGGCGATGGGCGAGTCTGTCTGGGCTTGCGCATCCCTTCGTTTGGGCAGGCACGCTTCAGGAAGGCAGCAGAGAGCCAATACCGGTCACAAAGCTATCCAATATTAGCATTTGATGAAGCTCAAATTAGGGGAGAAGACTTGCGCGTCCTTGGTGGTTCATGGTTCCACAACGGCAGCAGCGACGAGGGCAAGAGCCGTCGCGGAGCAAATGAAACGAGCCATGCCCGTAAATGTTTGTTTGCCCACAATGCAGGCAGGTTGTGTCCTTGCGGCTCATTCCATAGCCGGCTGGTATCTGCAGCTGATCGACGCAGTCGTGGGGCCGAAGGTAGTACTTGACGTCGAGCTTCAGCCTATACTGCCCGTTGTCGGCAGTGGCATTGGTATTGGCACTGGCATTGGCACTGCTATTGCCATGGGCATACCCATCGTTGTACCCGTTGGCACTGGGGTTGGCACTGTAGCCAGCTCTGCCGCGAGATGCTCCAGGTGGCGCATTGTAACCCCCTCGTCGGGGTCCTGTCGGCATTTGACGCTGGCCGAAGCCTTGCGAATAGTTGGCGCGTCCTCGCATCTGTAAAATTTGTGGCAGACTTCGAAAACAAAATTTGGTGTGGTGTGGACGCAAGAGATAGGAGGCAAGAGCTGTGGAGGAGTGCCCACAGGCAGCGAGGAAGGCACGTCTGATTCACTTTCACCTTTCATCTTTCACACCAGTCAACATGAAGGCAATTCACAGCGTGATACTCATCTTCCCATGGTACTGCGATGATCCAGAGGCGACCCAGAGACGACGAGCCAACCACACTTCCCGAATTTCATACGACTTATACGCGAGGGGATACTGGCTTCGGATGAAGATGTGCAGGTGGCTGCGAATTTTCAGGTGAATTGAGGTAAGTAAATTAAAGATACAAGACATCTAACACGAAAGTACAAAGCCAACGTGCTCTGGTTTACACGTGACTACAATGCACGACGGCGTGAATGTCGGGTGTCGGCACAGCCATGGACATTATACAGAGAAGCGTGTCCTCGCAACAGCATTACTCCTCTTCTACGGTCCGCGATGAACCCCGCCGTCGAGTTCGTAGGTGTACTGCACAGGCATCTCCTGAGGTGGCTCGGCGGCAGCATGTTGATATTTGTAGGGCCCAGGAATTACGGGCTCTGATGCCAGCTCGGCCTTTGGGTACGCGTCTTGGTACATTACTGCCGGGGCGTAGGGTTGCTGCATTTTCTTCTTCTGTCGACGCTTGTAAAGGAACCATAGGCCTACGCCGACTACCAGCGCCAGTGTCGGTCCAATGGCGATACCCGCGATAGCACCGCCTGACAAGGAGGAGGAAGAGGAAGACGAAGATGAATCGCTAGACGGAGGTGGCGGTATGGCGCTCGATGCTGCGTTGGAAAGGACGTCTGATGCTGTAGCAGGAACGGAGGAGGACGCTGATGATACGGAGTTTGATGCAGACGAGGTGATTTCGGACGTCGGCGAAGCGGAGCTCGGTTCTATGCTTGAGCTACTTGTAGGAGCAGCGCTCGCACTGGCTAATGACACGAGGTCAGCCGAGAGAATCTGGCAGCGTACAAACTTCTCGGTGAATTTGTAGCCAGACGCGCATGTAGTCTGGCCTGGACAGCATGCTTGGTCTACGCCAGCCTCAAGGTTAGCGCATGGCACCGAGTCGGCTTCTTCGCAGACAGATGGCTGGTCGACGTAACAGCCAGGCTCGCTATTGGGATTGTCGATGCAGCACCATCCCTTATCGAGGAGGTTTTGGCACTGGGGGTAGCTTTCTCCCTTCCGAATACAGCAAAGCGTATTGCTGGGGTTGCAGGTATTCGTTACTGCGCCTTCGCCTGGAAAAGCATCTTCGCATACGTCGCGTTTGAAAACTTCGAGTCCTTGCTTGAGGGCGCGCTTGATATTCAGTGCAGCGTCCTGTGGTGTGGGAGACGTTCTTGGTCGATGGTCGAGTGCTCGTGTCGGGGGTTTATTGAGTGTATGCGCAAAAGTGACCGTAGCAAGGCAGAAAAGGAAGAAGACCCATCGCGAGACCGTGATGAACGAGCCAGCCATTAGTCAAGCGGGTTTGGTGTTAAAGGCCGAAGGCAACAATGGGGTACACGTCCGGAGAATGACTTGGTAGAGACGTACAACCACGCGAGCGAGGCCCAGATTTGATCTTAAGAGAATAGTGTGCTGAAAGGCCGTGCACCGCCATTGTGCTGCGGTCGATATTGAGACCAATTGCGGTGGCTATCGCCCATCTTAGGGTGGGGGCCTTACAGCGCGCATGTGAATTACTGGCGGAGCGGCCTGACGTTCGGCCTAAGATTGTCGGGCAGCCTGGCGCTGAGCGTAATGCTCGTAGCTGCCTCCGATTTTTGTCTGGAGATGTGAAATATACACACGCTGCAAGACAGCATTGGATTAGCCACGGCCTTCACAGTACCTGCGCTTTCACCATCGTCGCTGCGCTTAGGAGCGAGAGAAAGGGCAAACCATCTTGTAGGTACGTTCTCGTGCCAAGAGCACATTGGCCCCACGGCAAGGCCTCCAGTAATAGGAGTAAGTCTTGTTGTGGCTGCAGCTGAAACAAGATAGTGACGATGTCCTGGACTATGGGTGGCTTATGGCGTCGATTTGCCACATGTTGAATTTGAGCGGAGGCGCCACGAAACGCGTCGCTCAGTCTGGCGACTCGAGGTTGAGGAACATCAGAGCTGGTTGTGAAGCTCCGGCGTGACTTGTTATTATCATTGTTAAAATCTGTTGAAGTAGCGCTCTCGCGGCTACATCAGTCGTTCTGTGTGCGTGAGGATGTGTCGCAGCGTGTTGTTGTCGTCTGGTCGATCTTTCATCACGCTAATGCACGTCGAGCCGAGATCGGGGCCAGAGGCTAACCATCCTTGTAATTGGCGGCGGTATGACTTTGGGGGCCGGAACTGAACCCTCTCAGCTGCTGCTGACACGTCCGCAATATTAACTGTGGTAATGATTCCGCGCATATCACTCACACATGCCCTGAGCCTTGAGCAGACTCTACGCCATCATGTGTCCAATGTGAGCCCTGGCTCCAGTGCATCGCAACCATGGTTCTTAGTAAAATCTCATCTCAACAACCAAAGTACACCACAGTCATGTGCTGCTGCTGATGCCTCGAGGGATGAGATAAGATTTCGCACTTGTGCGTCGTTCCTTCTTCATCCATCTTCAACTCCATCATGAGGCTCTACGCCGACATCATGCCCGCGTTCCGCCGACCGATCCGAACTCCTTTCATCGCTACGTGTCTCGTACTCCTATCCGTTCTGACTTTCTGGAAACTGAGCTTCAATGTTCCCAATGAACCTTATGGCGGCATCGCTCTTAACGAAGGCCCGTTTGACAAAGCCCTAGTCATCGCTTCCATGAAGCATGAGAATACGTCTTGGTTCTACGATGAGCTTCCAGAGTGGCGCAAATATGTCTATGTGGTGGACGATCCAACCGCCGAGCTCACGGTGCCGTTGAACAAGGGTCGTGAATCGATGGTGTATCTTTCGTATGAATACAACCCTACGCGATTATGTCGTTTGCTATGCAAGGACTGACTCTGAAATAGCTTCATCATCGACAACTACCACAAATTGCCAGGAAACATTCTCTTTCTCCACGCGGAGAGATACCAATGGCACAACGACGATCCCGACTATGACGGTCTGTCGATCCTGCGAAAGTTTCGCTTTTCCTACCTACAGGAAAAAGGGTATCTCAACCTGCGCTGTGTATGGGTTCTGGGTTGCCCGAACGAGATTCGCCCACTCACAGATGCAGTAGACGCAGCCCACACTCAGCCTCATGCGGGTCATTTCTACAAACAAGCCTTTGAAGTGATCTTCCCAGGTCGCGACATTCCAATGGCAGTTGGTGTTTCTTGCTGCGCGCAATTCGCTGCTACGAAGGAAAAGATACAGGAACAACCGGTTGAATACTATGAGCGCATTCGAAATTTGTTGCTGAGGACAACCTTGGAAGACTCAATCAGTGGAAGGATTATGGAGTATTCCTGGCATAGTAAGATACCCCACCCTGGTCATGGAGTTCCCAGTGTACTAATTCTTGTAGTAATATTCGGGCAAGACCCTATTCACTGCCCCAATGCGAGTGTGTGCTATTGCAAAATGCTTGGGTTGTGCAACCTGAAGTGCACTAGTGGCGCTTGCCATGGTCGGTACCAACTGCCTCCGTTCGCAACTCTCCCTGAAGGATGGCCGATCATTGGTTGGCATGGCGAGCAGCGAAAGCTCGGAGTTCCAGGTTAAGGAAGACATGTCGTTGAGTGCTCTGTGAGAGTAACCATGGCAGTCAATGTAGGTGCCAACTTGATGTATGGTAATACTCCCGACCGCTGAACGCTTGCTGTAATCAGCAAAACACTAGGCGAGGCGGGGCGACTGTAGAAACGGGAGCGGACTAGTAGGTCTGAACATGCGAATTAGCTCTCGTCAAAGAGAAGGACCGCGTCGGCCAATTACAATCGCCTTAGAAAGTCTGACTTCACGTGTATCGCGACGATCTGCATGGGTTGAAAAGCCTCATATTACAAGTATCAAATCATGCTTGGTCAAGCGACTGCGCCAAGCACGTAGCGAAATACCTGCCTCTTAATCTTTGCAGTTCCTCATGGGTACCCATTTCTGCGATGATACCGTCTTCCATAACAAAGATGATGTCTGCATGTCGAATCGTACTCCTGGATATTTGTCAGCAAATGTCATATTGCATCCCTGGCGGAAGGTTTTTACAGCCTATGCGCAACTGCAATCGTCGTCCTCGACATCGCAGCCTCATCGAGTGCTTTCTGCACGATCCTTTCACTCTGAGTATCCAACGCTGATGTCGCTTCGTCCAACAGCAGCAATCGTGGCTGGCGAATGAGCGCCCTTGCGATCGCGATGCGCTGTCTTTGCCCGCCGGAGAATTGCAAGCCCTTGGATCCGCAAGGGGTTTCTAGACCTTCGGGTAACGAGGCGACAAACTCGAGGACATTGGCTTGGCGACACGCCTCCTGGATCTCGGCGTCGGAAGGCTTGTGTTGGAGACCAAGGGCAATATTCTCTCGTACGGAGCCAAGGTAGAGTGGTGGCTCCTGTTGGACCAGCGACATGTAACGGCGGTAGAGCTGGGGAGACATGAGCGAGATATCCTGATCATCCAATGTGATGCGTCCGGATATCGGGTCGTAGAAGCGTAGCAGCAGAGACACGACTGTACTCTTGCCACAACCGGAAGGGCCAACAAAAGCAGCAAATTTCCCGGGCTCGATCTTCATCGAGATGCCCCTCAGCACCCTGAATGCGTTGCGCTGCTTGTACCTGAACTCGACGTCCTCCATGGCGATAGTGCCATCGGATGGTGGCCCCTTCCCGTCGGTTTCATCGGATTCGCAGATGGTCGGTTTGACAGTGCGCAGCCACAAGATGTAGTTTGCGGCCCCTTCCGCCTTTGTGATTGAGGTGCTGTACATGAAGAATTGCGCGACGCCCTGTCCACCGAAGACGATGGCGATGAAGATGACAAAGAACTGCGACGTAGTGTACTCGCCTTTCGCAATTAGCCGCGATCCGTACCAGAAGCCTAGAGCCATGACTAAGAAGTCAGCGGATTGCGAAAGCGCGTATGGGATCAGCGCAAAGGTTAGATTCTTAACGACTTTGCCCGTGATAGCCCGGAGTGTGTCGCTGTATTGCCGCATGATCGAGGTTTCGAGAGTGAGCATGCTGACCGTCCGTATGGAGGTGACGGCTTCCGTAGCCAAACCCGCGCTGCCAGAGAACTGTTCCTCTGTGGCACTCTCGAGTTTCTGGTCCAGTCGAATGCGATAGTAACCGGCAGCGACAATGATGGTCAGCCCGCCGAACACCAGTGTCAGTCCGAGCCTCCAGCCATACGCTATGCCAAGCGCACTACTCGCAGTGATATTGACCAAGATGTTGAACATAAGACCCAAGTTCGCCGACATCAACTCCTGCAATGCTGTTGGTGCAGATGACAGCTTTGAGGTTAAAGCACCAGACGAGTTCTCCGGGCGGTCGAAGAACTCCTGGTCAAAGCTGATAATGCGTTCGATCATCTCTCTTCGGTAACGATGAGTCATTGCCTGCCCAATGTTGTTGCATGCAAGGCCGATCATAAAGTATGCGAAGAGGTTGGCAAGAGCCAGCACGAAGAACATGAGTGCCCAGAAATTCGCTTCATCTTGTGCCTCAGATCCTTGCAGTGTGAACACCCGAACAAGACGAGAGAAGATGATAGCCTGGGCTGGGTAGGTACCACCGCCGATGATGCCTCCAATGATGGTGGCGGTATACCAGACCCAGAGATCAAGATTCTCCTTCAGCATGATCCAGATGCATTTGATGAGAGAGTAACCCAAGGTTCCAGCAGCAAGCTGCTCGATTTCGCGCTCGACATCCGTGTTGCTGTACTGCGATTGCATTCGTCGCATTGGGGCTTTGCTGTCCAGAGCGTCTTCGACATCTGCTGTATCCAGCAGCTCTTTCTCAATGTCCTCGTCGTTAGCCTTTGTACCAAGATCTTGTGCGCGCACCATTGCTGCATATAGACCATCGCTCTCGAGAAGTTCATGATGTGTACCCTGCTCGTAGATCTGACCTTCTTTCATGACAATGATGTTGTCGGCCGCCATCACGGTGGCAAGCTTATGGGCAATGATCAGCGTCGTCTTGTTGATCGAAACGCGGTTGAGTGCGCTCTGCACAACCTTCTCGGCGCGAGGGTCCAAAGCGCTAGTCGCTTCGTCAAACAACAAGATCCTGGGGTTCGAGATGATGCTTCGAGCGATGGCAATGCGCTGCCGTTGGCCACCGCTCAACATGCTTGCGCGCTCTCCAACTTGGGTATGGTAGCCTTCCGGCAGCGCCTCGATGAAGTCATGCGCGTTGCTGTTCTTACACGCTTCCTGCACGAGTTGCATTTGCGCTTCCGCTGGCAGATCCCTCTGGTCTCCTACAAAGCCCTTAATAATGTTCTCGAAGATTGTGCCTTGGAAAAGGGTAGGTTCTTGCTGAATGAGGCGAATGTTGGACCGCAACCATTTCGTGTTGTATTCGGAGATTTCTCGACCATCAAGCAGTATCTGACCAGTAGCAGGTTGATACCATCGCTCAAGCAGACCGACCAGGGTCGATTTTCCACATCCACTGGGCCCGACCAGAGCGGTTGTCTTTCCCGCTGGTATCGACAAACTCAGTCCTCGAAGGACTTGTGCGCTGGGTCGTGCAGGATAGGCGAATCGTAGATCGTTGATGATGATTTCGCCATTGCAGTCGGATGGCTGCATGCCTTCTGCCGAGAGTGGATCGAGTGCCGACGGCCTGTCGATGATAGAGAACAACTCGCCTGCCGCCGAGGAGGCATTGGTAAAAGCCTGTATCTGCGGGAAGATGAGCAGTGTTGCAGTGGCACCGAGGACTACACTCAGAACGACGGTGAAGACTGTGCCCACATCACCAATCTCCCCGCTCTGGAACATGCGGAAACCTTGCCAGAAGGCTAGCGAAGTACCTGACATAACCAGGAATGTTTGGCCGGAGAAGAGCACACCATAAATGACGGACTTCTTGTTACCCTCCTTATGCGCCTTCTGGAGGTAAGTCTCGTATCCGTCAACGATCTTCTGGTGAGCCCCGAAGGCGTGAATAGTTCTGATTGAGCTGATCGCATCTTGTGCCAGAGTCCCAGCTTGCGAGTAAATTTTGGTCTGTGTGCACGTTGTTAGTCCACTGCGTCAAGACATGTGGTCACTGGTACTGACCACTCTAGCTTCGATGGGCGCATCCATGCCTATGCACACGCCCGTAATTAGGAAGATGGCAGGTATTATGCTCATCACGATAAGAGCAAGCTTCCATTGGACAGCGATTGCCACGATGAAGCCGGAGAAGAAGAGTGAGATGCCTTGGACGCATGTGAATAGCTTTTCCGCAGTGCCTTGATTGATCCTGTTGCCATCTAGGCCACGATGTCAGTAGTGTGTACCTAAACATTTGAAGTAGGCTGCTCACTGGTAGTAACCTGAGTCGCGGCAGATCCACTGCCATCTTTGTCGAAATGAGCCACATCCTGACGGAGCAACTTGTCCAGAAAGTCCTCTCGCAACGCGCATGTTGTCCTGGCTGCCGCGATACAGATGCACAGAGTACCCAAATACCCAATAACGAAGCGAGCGACAAAGAGGTAAACAAAATAGAGTACCAAGTTGTCGATGTTGCTGGTAAAGTTCGAGCTATCTTGGCCGGTCGCTTGTTGGTTGAATTCGGCTGTGGACTGTCCAAAGACAAGAGTCATCAAGGGGAGCGCAGCACCAACGACGACGGCACCTGTGAGTCCAAGACCGAACAGTACGCGATCAGCCGTGCTGGCGTATGTAAAGATACGCTGTGAGAAAAGACATCAGTCTGCGGTCGTTACTCTCGTGCGCATCTGTGACTTACAAAGTAGTCTTTCAGACTTCCTTCTTTCTCTTCTTTCTTCGCTTCTTCGTTGGAAGCCTTGCTCGATTTCCCATCATCAACATCGACTTGCTTTTCTGGGTCGGCGTTGCCAGAAACATCGATCGCGACAGCGGGTCTGTCTGCTGTCTCCTGCATCGTGTTGGAGCTGTGAGTAGTCACCGACGGCGCGTCACGGGTGTCCATCATCGTTCACAATGCGCAAGCAACATACGCGCATTAATGCAGCAGGCAGGACGTGTTGTTTGTCGCATGAGATAAGCAGGCCTAGAGCGTGTCTATAGCGTCGCGTTCACGGGCGTCTCGCGCTCCGGACGTCAAGGCCTCCGGCGTTGCCAAGGCGGCGCCCATCAGCCGCAGAAACAAGACGTCATGACATTCAGGCATCATCAAAACCGATCGATATGAGCCGCGAGTAACAATCCACGCGTGGGATATCTGTTCATGGCCGTTGGGGAGGGCCTGCCCTGCTGGTGTAACGTCTTCATCACTAGCGAGGAGAGATTACTGGAGTCGCGACTGCCAAAAGGGATGTACTAGGCTGCATTTGGATTAGCGCCACTGGGGCGTGGTCGGGATCACGGACGTCGGGGCTGCGTACAGCCTTCGCCGTGTCTTCGCATTCTCGTACTCATTTCTTCTTCTGACTTCCGCTCTTGAACTCGCAGTGTCTTCACATCCGTCGTAGCTTCTTGGCTGCACCCAATATGACTTTCGATTCGGTTGGTTGGACCTCAAATGGAGCTGATCAATTTAGATTTGGGTCACGTCACGTGATTGCTTCACAAAAACCTTGGAACTCAGCTTTGTAGGCTCTTAGGGTTTAAATCTTTTTCTTAAACATCGTGCTCAAATCTAAGGTCTAGAAACTATACAGCAACCTCTATATAAGCTGCTTCAGAAGTTCTGAAACAGTTGGGTATTCCTAACTCCTACTACCACTGCTTCTTTTCCAGCGCGTTCTAATCTCAATATTTGTGTTCCTCGCTATCAGGAAACTAATATAGGGGCTTGCATCGATGTAACTCTCCTTCTATTCTAACTCAGACAAAGACAAACACAGTGTGGCGGTCCACACATTGTCACGTCCAAATACCGACAACAAGTCTCAGGCATTGTTCGCATCGGCCATAGTTCAGGTAATACTTTCAACATATACATATTCATGATCGATAAAACGATAAAAGCCCCTAAAAGGAGCTGTGAAATCATGACGGCAATAGGCGCATCGTGAGCGCCACTAGCATGACAACATTAGTCTTTGAAGGGGCATTCGATCGCGAGCGGGTGGCGAAGAGCTTCCTCAATGTTGACCTGTGTAGTATTTCGTTCCGACAACGACAACACTAGGTAGATTTGAGCATCTTCACAGTGATGTTCAAGTGGTTCTTCCGTGCAGATACACCTTACTATCATATAATGCGCCCCATGACTGGCCCTATCAGATCCTGTCAGCGTGTTTTGACCCAAAGTGTAACAACTCAGTGAATCTCGCGATAGTCGTGCGCCTACGTCATGTGCGCTGCGCAACGCCTGAATGACCACAGCAACTCTCCTTTCTCTTTACGGGTCCGCTTTACCGATTGCCCACACCAACAGGCTCACTCAACTCTGGAGTAGACGCCCGTTCAACCAATCTTCTTCCCCTGACCACACCTGAGCTTATCATGTTGAGCGCGCCAACGGCCAGCGAGATCGCTTCCGCAAGCAGCTTCACCAGCACCAACATGAGTGCGACCGACATGGAGACCCAACAGCAACTCGCCATTCTGATCGAGGCTAGCTGCGAGAAGATGACGCGCAGTCAGCCATCATCTGAAGTCGCGCAGGTCGATGGCGACCCAGCGAGCATTGTATATCAGAAAAGGCTGGCTAAGATCAAGACACTGCTCAGTGCGCGTTCGACTGAGACAGATGCTTCACCCTACGTAAGTCCTGACCAAACATACAAACGAACAATGAGACTGATCAGACATGGAAGGACATTGCGCTGTGCAAGAACATCGCGCTATACATCAACGCCGCAACCAAAAACACCTGGCGGAGAGCACGACTCGCACACGGTATGACTGCATCATCGGATTCGGCAACCAGCTCCCCCGGCGGCAGCGGGAAGTCGAGTTCTGGACCGGACAGCGACGATGTCAAAACCGTACGGAAGCCCGGCCAGGTGCTGATGGTCACTGACGGGCGGTACGAGGTCCTACAAGACGATCTCCGCGACGCAAAGCAGCGCGTACGCGATAACGTAGCTCAATACCAAGCTCTCAACCAAAAATACGCCGAGCAGCAGGCGCAGCGCCTGAACGACAAGCGATTGGTAGACCAATGGTCCCAAGAAGTGGCCGACATGGAGGCCTATTGCCAACAGGTTGACGAGACAAACCGAGACCTGAATGACCGTCTCGTTGAAGCGGCTGAGAAGCACCAAGCGGAGATCAAGGCCAAGGATCTTGAATCGGCGACGTTGAAGGCAGACCACGACCTGGCCATCGCTGCCCAGCGTGAAGAAACCGAGAAGTGGCACCAAGAATGCATGCGGAAAGAATCCACCTTCCAGAAAACGATCGAAAAGGTGACCGCTGAGCGTGAAGACATTAAGAGGAAGGCCAATCTTGAGAAGAGGAAGATTCTCAAAGCACACAGGGTCAAGACTGACGATCTGAAAAGCAAGAACGAAGTATTGGAGATGAAGAACAGTCGTATGGTAGCTGAATACTACGACGCCATGTCTCAGGAAGAGGAGACCATCATCAGCCTCACGGCTCGGATCCAGCAGCTCGAGAAAGAGTACGAAACCATGTCGCAGATGCTACGCCAGAAGTTCACAACCGGAAGTGAGCTTCAGCGTGTGTTAGAGGCAAATGCTGCTGGTAAAGAAGAAGCAGCGGAGCATCGGGCGGAAGTGCAGCGATTGAGGACGCACGTCGAAAACCTGCTCGACACAATCCAGAATACCGAGACGGACGTCACGCGACACCGAGAAGCCGAGCAGGATGTGCGAGCGGCGTTGAGCCGCTCTGGGAAGGTTGTGCATCTGCTGGAAGACAAACTGGCGCTGAAGAATGACCAAATCCGGGACTTGGCGAAACAGCTCGAGCAATTACAGCAAGGCAATGTTGCACCGGGCGCTCATTGTGCAGCTCTCGATGCGATCGATCTCGAGAATGAGCAACTACGAAACTCTCTCCAAGCCGAGCGGGACGAGAAGACCGATATGCAAGCCAAGCTTGATAAGCTTGACAGCGATCACCTCAGAGTCTCCATCGAACACGACATAATGGAGGCCAAGCTCATTGTAGAACAGAAGTCCAACAGCACGCTCAATAAAAGTACAGAAGCGATGATGCACGAGCTGAACATGCTCCGCAAGGTAGCCAAAAGCCGGCAAGGTGCTCTCGGTGAGCAAGACCAGTCCGAGCTGCTGGACCTGGTGAGCGGGACCGCCGCTACAAACCAGAGCCTCCTCGACACCAACGCTCAGCTACAGGATAGACTTGAGGAGATCGAGCAGTGGAGCAAGACCATCGTCGATAAGTGCGAGAGCGACGTTATGATCGCGAGTAGCGACGTAAATTATTGGTACCACCTCTACTTCAACGAGGCCGTCGCAACAACCGAGCGCTTACACAACGAGATTGCCGCCCTCAAAGCAGAGAAGGGTGAGCAACATTTCGTCGAGCCTGCTCCGCCCGCCAACCCCGAGATCCATGATCGGAAGACGCTGGCATTTGCTATGGCACATGGGCTTCAGGGTGTTCCGCCGGAGTTGATCTCTGCGACCTTCTACGACTCTACGTCCGGAGTGTGTTTGTCGCCTACTGAAGCCGCGTTGAAGGCACTACGGCCACAGGGATGGTACCCCATCTACATTGCGGGTAAAGTGTGGTTGTCAAAGATGGTAGCGGCACTCTCCGAGGAGCAGGCTGCGATGCGCATTGAGGCTGGCGATCATAATGCGAGTCAGGGTAGCGCTGGCTCTGCGCGATCCTCAGTGAGCAACACATACGCGCCACGGGGCATCGACTTCGCCACCACGTCAGATGCTCACAACAATATGGCGGGCAATGCGTCGGATCCAAGGACGCCGCTGCTGACGCGAGCATCAAGCAGACGAACGCACAGTCCCATCACCCCAGGACGCGACGACCGAACGTCAATCCCAACGCAGGCACGGAAGGCGAAACCTCAGGTGGTACGCCGGGTTGCGCGAAGCCGCCTCGTCGAAGTATCGCAGATTCCAGAGTATCAATCGTCGTGGCAGCAGATTGATGAAAGGATGACGCGTAAGGTGTGGGAGGGCATGGACGAGGAGCTCAGGGTCCACTGGGCCACGGATTATCTAAGGATTGGAGACGACTAAGCGCCTGGTGATACAATGCGATAAGCAAGCTGGAGGTCAACGGTTGCATTATCGTGTGGCGACAATGGAAGACGAGGCCGCGATGGACTGCTGGCCATGCAAGGCAAGCAAGGTGGCAGGCGCGACAATCGGTCTGCAATCCACAAATGAGACTACCCCATCGCACGAATAGGGTGCACACAGGCTGGAGACGGGTAACGGTCGAAGATGCTCAATGAATGAGACGCGCAAGCGCTGGAGGAGACGGACAGAGAGATGGGATGATGCGGGAAGGATGACACGCGCGGTGGCATTTGGGTTCTGTCCATGTTCGCGCTAGATCCTTCGCGGCAGCGCCCAGCAATCTGCAGGATGACACGCATGATTGGCGCTTGACAGGCCAACGTCACTCCATCTTCAGTAGCTATTGTCTTTCTTATATATCAATCAATGTTGTAAACACATGGCCGTTCGGTGTCTTCTCTTAGATTTAGTGGGTGCCTCTGTTATATAAGTCGGCAACAGCCCGCGCAAACCACCACGCACACGCAATTCTCAAGGTTTGTACGTCAACACAGCCGCCCCATCGTTACTGTGAAATGTTTCCTCTTTCGCAACTAGTATGTGACTAGTTGAAGCTGACTAGATCATCTTAGAGCCGCGGTGGAATTTCGCGGTGTCGTGATCGATGACGTCATCACCATCCCCCTCACCAAACGGTCTCACCAGCGGTGCCCGAAGAACAGAGAAGGCACCTTGAACGCGGGTGCATATCGCAACTCATACTTATGGCTATACACCTCGACGCCAGCACTTTGAGAGGCCTTTTGGCGCAGCGCTAGGGCTTTCATGACGGCTACGCGGGATGCAGCTCTCGCGCACATCAGCGCCTGGCTCACTGAGACGCGATGACGCACAAGTTGCTCAAACACATCTATAGGTACCACAAGCGCACTCTGGTACATATAATCATCCTCAGTATCTGATTTGTCTCGCAGATATGCTGTGTTGGGTTGTCGCGCTCGCCATCTGTTCCTCCACCGGCGCCCCTTCACCTTGTCACAACCACCGCGGCCAGCACACCAAACGGCGTCCTAAATCGCAATGACGTCGCTAGTCGCACAAGAAGTATCTGCTGCCTTCTCTCTCTCGTCGTCCTTGCTATTGTCGCGTTATTGAGCCTTTACCGAGCCAGTCAGGCGCTGCTGCGCAAAAAGTGAAGGAGACCTGAAACACAACTTTTCGACCCCAACCCCCGAACCTCCGCAGAACGACACCAGATCCCGGCCAGAACACCAGTTCCTTGAGAGGCTGGGCCAATAGCCGGCCGCCGCCACAGTATGCGACGCCAAATCGGGTAACTGAAGTATCCACCACCACCACCTGCACCGCAGAAGATGGAGGAAAAGGTGCGGTATTTATCTACCTTCATGCTCACAGACTTGCTAACCAGCCTCCTCAATTGCTTAGATAACGACGCCGAGCCTTTCTCCCACAGAGCTCACCTTGTGGCTGTCAAAATCAATTTCTATTCGTCTCTCTTACACCACACACTACTTCCTGATTATCTTCAAGCATCTCAGCGACTACTTTCTCACTTCTTTCAAACCTACGTATTCATCAACATGTCCGACAATATGGACTTCGACTTCAGTATGTTCTGCAACGACGACTTCCTCAAGGACATCCCCCTGCCCTCCGTCGAGACCTCTAGCGACGACGTCGCTCTCAACTTCGACTACGGCTTCAACGCTGGAGAGTTTGCCGGCGACATGTCGTTTGGAATTCCTGACGGTGACCTCCTGAGTCACGCCAGGCATCTACAAGGTGCTGAGTTGGCGTCCTCTACTCTCCCCAAGGCCATTGAGACCCTCCCGGCCTCCACTTTGCCTGCCGTTCCAGGGCCTATCGAGGCAATGTGGACGCCTCTTATGAACCCAGCTCCGCCGGTAACCCCGGCCAAGAAGACCAAGGCCCCCGCCAAACCTCGTGCGACCAAGCCCAAGGCTCCTCCCAAGCCCAAGGTTGTCAAGGTGAAAGCTCCGCCCAAGCCCAGAGCTCCCAAGCCTCCCAAGGAGAAGGCCGCCAAGGTCACCAAGCCCAAGAAGCCTGCGAAGGCTCACAAGCGCACCGTCTCTGCACCCTCCGGACCCATTCGTTGCGTCGGAGAGCTTTACCACCTCCCCTGGTCTCAGCTCTCCCAAGAAGAGAAAGGCCGTCTTCTACTTCCTCTCCTCCAGGGCATTGACCCCAGCACCGGTATCAAGATCGGCGAGCCCGGCACTCTACTTCCCCCACCCGACTTCGAGATGATCGGCGAAGACCTCTTCGGCACTGGCGACAGCGGCGCCAAGCTCATGGGAACCTCTACCTCTTCTCCAGAGACACAGCGTAACAGCCTCACCATCACACCTTCAAGTCCTACTGCATTCCTCAGCAGCCCGGCTACTGCTATCACCACCCGCGACTCTGACGCCGAGGACGCCGCCAAGTACCGCGCTCTCATGGCAGCTCAGAAGGCGCAGATGCCTACCACCAGTTCTCCTATGTCCAACTCCAACATCAACAACGCCGACATCAACATCGACATCAACAACACCATTCAGTCATTGGGCAACGACGTCGTCAACATGGACTACTGCCTCAACAAAGACACCTCTTCTTTCGCCTCTGACTTCCAGCTCGACCTTCCCGATTTCCAGCTTGACTTGTCAGAGTTCGAGTTCAATCTCGGCGACATGTCTCATCCGGCCTATCAAGGTCTCAACTCCGGTCGCGGTCTCGGCGGTCCTTGTGGTAACGGCGTCATCGGCGACCCGGCTCCGGCTCCAGCTCCCGCGGTTCAGCCTGTCTCTCCTGTCAACAACAACCTCGATCTCTCCGACGCTGCCGCCATGCTGAATGCCCGTCGCGGTATCGGTCAAACCCCCACTCCCGCCAGCGACTACGGACGTCTCCGTCAGATGGAGGCTCTCAAGCGTAATGCTGAGCTTCAGGCTGCTGGTCGTCGTCGCTAGATGCTTTGCGCGCTCGGCGTTGGATGGTATCATGTCATGTATCTGCTTTTTTTTTCTTTTCTTGCCTTGATGGCGCGGTTGCGAGGAGCTTACTGGCTTGGAATGACGGACTCATTGGGTGGCAGGTCAGCATGGACCTTGGTGATGCTTACTGGAAGTGAGATGGACATGAAGATGCATGGAGATGGATATGGTTACGGAACGCTCTCATCGCATCACTGCTGAGCATCGGATGAGCTGGATGAGAAACATTGATAGAAGAATATACCCACAAAACCCATCGTCTCTTCCCTTCTACACCGCATGACCGTGATATCTGCCCTGCTACATCTTCTTCTTCGCGTCTACACCTCTTCTCACACGTCAGCAAATCCACCTTGCCTCTCGTGCCCTTCCACCAGCACATTCAAAGCTTCGACTTACTTTCTCTATGCTTCTCAAACATCCCATAACAGCCTTCCTCCCACTTCCTCATCAATTTTCCACATATCGCATCTCCTGGAGGCACTACCTGCCCCGCGTAAACCCCAGCGAGTCCAGTCTTACGGTCAATCCACCAGATGAGATTGGGATAGCCGCCCCAGAGCATCGTCCCTGCTTTCTTGCCGTCAGGCGCATCGTCCATCATGACCAAGCCGCCGAGGGCGTAGTCTTTAGCTACGTGCTTGGGTGTACCGCCCATTGCGTTGTTCGCCTGTGTTATCGTTAGCCGAATCATCCTGCGAGATCGAAGTGGCCGGGAAGGATGGACGAGTTACGGGCTGGTAGAGTAGAAGAAAGACATACCGCATCATCCTGCACAACAGCATTTAACATCGTCCGACTCCCCTCGCCCAACTGCGGCTTGAAAAATACCTCCAAACTCTCTTTACTTAGTACCTTGCCCTCCCCTCCCTCGTCGCAGTCCAACACCCCCTTCAACACCTTAATATACTCTTTCGCGCAAGTAAAACTGCCCTGCCCACCCATACAGCCCGTCACCTCCCCACCCTTCTCATCCACAAAAGGCATCTTCCCCTCATGAACACTCAATTTCCCATCTTCACCCCTCCCCGACATCTCCGCCATCCTCTCCTGCAAATCCGGGCGCTTCGAGGGAAAGAACGTAACGTCTGTGATATTAAGCGGACCCCAGAGGTTCTTCTTCATGTACTCTTCTAGTGTAAGACCGGAGATACGTTCGACTAGTAAACCGGCGTAATCAACACCAGGCCCATACGCCCAGCTCTCGCCCGGCTGAAACACAAGCGGCGCATCGAAGCGCTGCACAACCGTTGGCTTGGCATTCATTTTCTTCCCATGATACTTCAGCCACGCTAGCGTTTTCGGATGCATACCCTCGTACGTCAGGCCGCTCGAGTGCGTCAGCAAGAGACGGAGAGTAATAGGCTTTGTGTGCTTTTCCTCAATGGGAACTCCCGCGTCTGTGAAACCAGTGAGGACGTTCAGGGATTTCAGTTCTGGGATGTGGGTGTATACGGGTTCTTCCAGGGTGATGTGACCGCGCTCGACGAGTTGCATGGCGCAGAGGGCTGTCATGAGTTTGGTGCAGGATGCGACCCACATCATGGTGTTGAGGTCCATGGGTTTGGCTGAGCTGGGGCTCATGGAGGTGCGACCGAAGGCTTTGGAGTATGTGAAGGTGCCTAGTGTTTGTTAGTATTGGAGGTTTAATATCGTGATGGGAAGGTTGCGTACCATCACGGCTTGTGGCCGCTAGAGCACACCCGGGGATTTCTTGCGCTGCAATGGCGTCGTTGATGATGGTTTCGAAATCGGCCATGGTTGTGGTAAAGACTTGGGTAGTTTCATGCAATAATGGACGTGGTGACTTGCTCCAAGCTGTATGGCTATGATTATGTATGTACACGTTGCGCAGGGACCGCAGGCTACAAGATCGAGATTGGTGTCAAGATGACAGAATTGGTCCTAGAAATGTCGTTAGTTTCTAGGCTGCAGCGACTGTCACGGACTACAACTCACGGAGAAAGCGGTAGCGTATACAGAGTAAGGGTTGCACGAAAACTGCCTGGTGTTTGTTGTCGTGATTCGTCCGTGGCGGGCCAGGATGGGCTGCCGAGGTACACGATGCGGGGCTTCGATTCTTCAACCGCTAGTCGCGACGTCGACTAAGCCGCGAAATCCACGAATTATGAGACAATGAAGAAAGAAATTATAGGGTAATTGTAACTTTTCCAGTTTCTACTTCCATGGCGCTTTTCAGTAACAGAGACGCCAGCCACGGAGACACTGCTCACGACAACACGTCCCCCTCCCGCGACATCGCATACAGTCCAGGACAACCAATTCGCCTCAACATTACTGCTCCTTGATCACTAATCTGGATTTGTATCCATGTGAGCATGACAATACAGTTCTATCACCACATCTCGAACTCGCCGATGCCAGAATCACAATCATCCCTAGAGCAAAAGTCAGCACCACATTGTAGTCGTCAGCAGCTGTCCACATACTCATTGATAACCTGAACATTGTCCGAAGTCTTGAAAGCCCACAACATCATCATGAGGTCATCAGGTAGTCCGTGAAGCTCGGCATCTTGTTGGTAGCTATCCTCATTCCGTATGACGGCAGCCATGCCTCTCATTTGTGTCGCTACGTCTTCAGGCTCGGGTTCAGGAGGGACGAAGTGGGTTGTCCATGGGCCAGGATCGAACTGCTCGACGGCGTCAGCAAGGGTGCGATAGTCGAGGACGGTAAGGTTCTGCATTGGTATTATGTCTAGGCACTGTTAGTGACGTATTGGAGAGCTGCTGTTCTGGTACTTACTACCAAGGTTGCAGTCCAGCAGATGTCCTTCATCTTCTCCGCAATCTACACATGGAACCTGTTCAAGGCCTTTCATGTAGCTGCCCCACGGCTCGGGGATGGTCTCTACAGGCTTCTCCGTTACGCCTGCAGCTTTGGTACCCGATGGGCGTGAGTCTGACATGCTGGGCGACCGGAGGTCACTGATTGATTGCTGTTGTTTCGCCCGAGAAGCATAAGTCTGCCCGTTGTTTGTCGTGTCGCACGCTCTAGCGGCCGCGATTGGCTCTTCGATATTTGTACATTCGGTATGATCCGCTGAGGAGCTTACTGGTAACGGTAACGGGCTAGCTATACCATCGAACGGCACTTCTCGCGGTTCGTTTGTTGGAGTCTTTGGGGTAGCATTGTGCGGCACGCGCGGGCTTGTTGGTACACCGGTGATGCTATCATCATCGTCGAAAGCGGACGGCGTTGTCGGAGCTGCGATCGATTTGTGTCTTTTGTTGGCGGAGGAACCTGTATTGCGATCATCCCTTCGATCGTTGCCTCCCTCCTTCGGTATCACGTACCCAGGATCTGTCTCCCCAAAACGGTTGTCTTGTCTTTCGCTCGTCGGAGATCGGATTGATATGTTCGAAGCATTCGAAGCTCCTGAAACCAAGGCAGTAGTATTTGGTGAAGGGTCTGTAGCGCTCTTGCTGTGGGCTAGCTGTCGTGGAGGGTCTGCGGAAGCAGAGTATTGTACAGCAGAGGCGCGAGCAGACGGGTGAACCCAGTTATGTTGAGATACTCCATTGCTAGCATTGGATGTTGCTTGTTTTGGTGACGACTGCAATCCCCATTCTAACGCAGCTCGCGGTATCGTAGGCACGCTCCCGCTAATAGACGGACCAGGTTGTGCGGGTATCAACGGTTGCGTTTCGAAGCGTTGGGAGGGAGCCTGCTGCTGACTTTTCGCTTTGGAAGGAGGAAGTGGAATCTTGACCTTTTCTAACGATGAAGATGTAGGCGAAAGCTGGCCTGCAGGCAATGTAGTAGCACTGGTTCTTTGTTTGACTGATTTAGTTTTGGCTGCAGGTTTCGGTCCCGCTGCTTGCGATAGCTTCGCGCTGCGTGCCCTGGTAACTCTGCCAATGGGGGACTTCGGTGTCGCTGGTTCTGCGTGCTGAGCTTGCGATGAAGTCGAGTGTACAGGCCCTGGTGTCACTGGAGATGAGATGGGCCGTTCTGGTAGCTGAATCGCGGGATCGATCGGGGTAGGTCTTTGGGCTCTGTATTTCGCTTCCCAGTACTGCTTAAGACGTGGGTTGGTGCTGATTGGGTAGAGCGGCACTTGCCCTCTGGACGACATGGGCAGATGAAGCATCGAGCGCAGTTCGTAGATCGTTTGGAGATGATGATGCGCCGTACCCGACATCGCCATCTTGAAGCTTGTATCGTTTGCGCCCCTCACCCATCTTAGTATGATCTCGTCGAACCTGTCGTCGCTGGAGTCGGCAGCTTGGAGAACATCCTCAGGTGTTGTGAAGCCGCGGGCCATTGCGCGCCGGTCATCGTCGATAGTCTGGAACCTCCAATACCCGCCTTCCAAATGTGATGGGTCGATTGTCCGCACAAAGTGATCAAATTCGCCGTTGGCACCCGTCGCAATGCCGCGGTAGGCTGAGTGGTAGGCCATGGCGACTGCCGGGAGGGTGGCCTTCGATTGCAGCGGCGTGAAAATCGGCGTAAAAGCGAATGAGGGTAAGTCGTCGCCGTTGAGATCAGACAAGTTGGTGTTGCATCAAGCGAGGGCAGGTGGAAGTCCGCTGTGGGAGTAGTCGGGGAAGTAAACACTGGAACGGCGCAGAAGATTGGAAGGTACGCGTAGGCACCCAACATGCAAATTTGAAAGAGCTGAAAATTTCGAGCTTAGAGGACCATGGTTTGACGGAAACATCAAAATGATTAAGAGACAGTTGCAAGCAAAGGATGAGCCATTCGCCGCATGTTTAACTCCCATATCGCGCTGCACGTGTGAGGCAGCTGCCTGAGGAGAGGGCCATTCGAGCCCACCGCTCCCATGCATACTCAGTACCTACAAAAGGAGCCGCGTGATGAGCCTAGCATGAGTTCATAGGAGGCCTCGTCTGTGCATCAATGGAAAAGCGAAATCAGTTAGTAACAGGGTGCGAAAGCTGTCGTGACGCGGTCGCGACAATATTATGGCCATAGGCCTCGACAGGCAAGTGAACAAGTACAAACGCATGGTTTACGTCACGGACAGACTCTAGTGGAGATATGAAAGGTGATTTGAGGAATGCGCAGGACGCTGAAAGTGTACAGGAGATGAGACGAGATGAAGTCGCGATGTGTCTCGGTGATGGTGTCAGCCAATGACGTCATCGACCGCACGCGCGCGCATTCCAAATCGGGCAAGTTCCAAAAACCGTAGATTGCGGGTGCCTGGAGAATTACCACGCGCTGTCCGAACTTCTCCCCACCGTCTCCCACTCAGCAGCCTCCTACCTCATGCAAAGGAAAGTCTAAACACCCTAGTATCTACGTTGAAGTTGATTCGACTACTTCAAATTCTATCATCTAAAAGCAGGCTGCAGACCTATTTAGTCTTGTTCCTTGAACAACGCGCCCCATCTACAGCGTCAACCCCCCAAACCACTCCAAAATAATCCTCGTCGCCTCCGCCGCCTCACACGTCAAAACCCCCTCATCATCCCCCGTATCACCATTCGCAAACGAACTAGGCCAATCATGGCCCAGATTCTCATACTTGTAATGCACAACCACGTCGTCCCAGCTATACCGCGTAACCTTCTTCCCTTCATCCACTTCACAGAGATACGACGTTTTGTTCGCGTCAACGTCAAGGCCGTCTCTCTCGACCCAATCCCTCACCCACGTGGGGATATCAGTTGAGTTTGCGTTGCCGCGGGTGTTGATGCCACCGGCGTATGGTATTGTCGTGTCCTCCAGGCCGTGGAATTCCATGATGGGGACTTGGCGACTGGGGTTGCAAGGTAAGGGCTGCTGGTCGGCATCGAGGTAGAAAGCGCCAGACACGGGCGCGAAAGCGGCGATTCGCGAGCTTGCTTTGGGGTGGCAAGCTAGCACGCCGCCGGTGAAGCCTCCGCCGTTGGACTTTCCGGTTGCGTAGATGCGGGTGGGGTCGATGCAGTAGGTTGATTGGAGGTGGTCAAGGAGTTCGAGCGTGAATGTGACATCGGAGATGGAGGGTGGGGAGTCGGGGTCGCCCTCGTACTGCTGCGTGCCTTTTGCGTTCTGGGCATGTGTTAGCATACTTCTACAATGCATCTAGAGATGGGTAGACGCTACCGGTACGCCTTCGGGATACGCAACGATGCCTTCGTAGCCATAGCTGGCGTTCGAGAATTGACTGAGAGCTTCTTGGTACTTTGCATTCTTGCCACGGCCGTGGAAGGAGAGGATGAGTGGGACGGGGTTGTTGTTGTCGTACGAGGGCGGGATGTGTAGACGGTATTTGCGAGGGGAAACACCGCTTTCACTCTCCAATGTCAGATTGACGGACTTGTCAAGCTCGATACCATTGGGGAGTGGCTTCTTACATCCGCAGTCGGGTGCGGTGTTTGGACTTGAAGCTGCGGTTGCGGCAAAGAGCACCGCTAGCATTGACGACGATGCCTTCATTTTGGTAGTTCGGGGTGGACTCGGAAGTCTCGATCGTGGCTGCATGCATTTATATATCTCCGAGGTGGTTCAGGCGTGCAGCAACGTCACATGCGACCTTCTCTTTTTGAGGCTAGATTGCTGTAGCATGGTATTTAGCGTGATGCTAATGTACAGCCCGCCGTGCTAGTCTGTAAGCCTCATGAAAGGTGTCGATCGTAAGCCTCAGCCGTCCTACAACCCACTTTGCTATCGATAACTATAGTTTCTATCTTTCACAAGCCACCTAATGACTATAAGTCGTAGCAGCTACGCCGAGCTCCAACGGACCCATAAACGCCGACTTCATCCCTCAGTCCAGGCCCTCGACCACGGCTTCTACAATAGCCTCGCGATACTTCTTCTTCATCCCATCATCAAAGCCATCATACTCCCCTTCAGAAAACGTATTGTGCCCACCCTCCACGTATTCCTCAGCGACTCGTTGCTCAAGAGTACGCTCGTCATCACCGTTCACGTCCAGGCGGTCGATGCTTATTTCTTCGACGGGCGCAGCGACTTGAATAGGCTCGGTCGAGTTAGGTAGATTGCCGTCTTGAGAACCTGCTGATATGTTAGTGACGTTACTCAGTTGGCTCATGCAGCAACATGGCTTACCCGTAATACCCTGACCATACTGCGCTAGGAACGCGTCTTGATCGATGTCTTCGTCAGCGACGTAACCGGCAAGTTGCTCATTCTCGGCTTCGTGAGCGCTGATGCGCGCAAGCATCGTCTTTGCAAATGCAGGTAGCTCATCAAACTCCCGCGCCTCTTCCCCTCCGATCGCTGTGGGATTTTGGCCATCATCAGGATGGCAACCGTCAGCCTTCGTGCTATCGTTCGGGTCTCCTCGCTCATGTGATCTGCGCTTGCTAGAAGGCGGTGACGTACCATCCGTGTCGTGCGAGCCTGGGGTATTGCAAGGCGTGCCGATTTGTTCTTTACTACCGTCGGAATCATCTTCTTCGTCGGTCTTCTCTTCCTCGTTGCTGTCCGACCCATCGTCAATGTCGAACATTTTGCGATGCGCCTCTTCTAGCTTTTCGTCCAGCTGTTCAAGTTCCTTCTTGAACTCCGCGAGGCGCGCGTTCGACGCCGCACGAGTAGCCTCATCCATGACGATCTCACCCTCGCCCGTGAGTAGAGGAACCGTGAGTGGCACCCACGCGGCATGTCCTTCCAAATACTGCCAAAAGTCCGGCCAGAGCTTGCGCAGAGCCAGTTCGACTGCTGAGTGGCAGCCCTTGAGAAAGTCTGGATCGAAGTACTCCTTGGGCAGCATGCTCTTGGTGAGGCCGTGGTCTTCTCGTAGCGCAAACTGTAGCAAGCGTCTGTCGTGAACTAAGCGGCTAGAAGCCGTGGAGCAGTAAAAGTGTTCTTTGCCACACTTCTTCTTCCAATACGCAAGTTCATCGTGCAAGCTATCACGCTCGACGACTGCGACGTGCCAGTAATGCATCTCGAAGTCTTTGTACCATGCGCGGTAGTTGTCGATCCTGCATTCACACTTGGCGCGTGTATCGAGCGCCTCAAGCTTGAACCTATCAACATCTTTCAGGAGTTTGTGATTCTCGGCGATGAATTTCCTGTTCTCTGTTTGGAGTGGGTGAATCTGGGTGAGGATCAGGCGATGCATTTCGAAAGCATGTGGGCTACTGGTGGTGTGTGTAGCGCTGACCAAGGCATGACAGTTCTGGATTTGGTCTTCGAGAATCTTTTCCTGTGCTTTCAGTGACTGCACTTTGCGTTCAAGCCCAGCTACCTTCGCTAAGCAATCTTGCTCCTCGGTCTGGTATGTGAAGAGATCCTTATCACACTGGTCCAATTTGGCTTGAATGTGTCGACGTGTCTCTTGCTCCTGCTGAAGCTGAGCACGAAGTTGTTCTGCCTGCGCGTAGTAATCCGCTATAGCCTCTGCCACGATGCCGTTAACAGTGGCTCGTGGAACGCAGCCTGCAATGTTGGAGACATCTTCCTGATTTACCTTGGCGGCTGCAGAAGCGATGACCTTCTGCAAATCCGAAGCGTACTTGGTAAGCTTCGTCTGTTGGTCAGTAAGCTGCGCAGCTTGGTTGACCGCATCTATCCGTTCGTCCTGCAGCGTCTCTAACTTCTTTAAATACGCGGTCAGTCGATCTGCATTCGACTGGTTGACATCGAGTAGGTTCTGTACATCCGTCTTCAAGTCCTTGTTGTCTTTGCTCAATGCTGCGTTCTTCTTACGCAAGGCTTGATGCGTCTTGATGGCATGCTGGGTATGCTTGGCTAGGTCTCCTTTGGCCATTGCTGCGTCTAGTGTAGTCTCTAGACCAGCGATGGCGGCGTCTTTCTTCTGTAAGATCTGCACCCAGTTTGCGTGGTTGTTACGAGTCTCCGCTTGGGCGATGAGGGCTGCACGCTTGACATTCTCCTCGGTATCTTCCCAGAGTTTGCTTTTCTCCGCAAAATGGTCGGAAAGCTTTCGATATGTACTGGTTTGCTTCACCATGTTGGCTTTGCAATTGCAAGCAATTGCGTCGCTGCCTATGGGTAGGGCGGCATGGTTTCCGTTCATGGCAGTGGCTGCGTCGAGAGCTAGCTTCAGCCGTGCTAGCTCCTCATCTTTCTCGGTGATGAATTTGGATAAGCCGTGGACTTTAGCTTCCAAACAACTATTGTCCTTGCGAAGCATATCAATAGTGCTTGACTGCTCGTGGGTTGTCGCCTCCAGTTCGGCGATGCTTCGTGACCAATCGTCTATGGTCTTACGGTCCGCTCGGCGCTTTCCGCGTAAAGTATCAAGAGCGCTCCTGTCTCGTTCCTGATCATGTAGAAATTCGGTAATCTCGCAGTCTCGTGCGGTGATGATGGCTTCCTGATCCTGTAGAAGTTCGGCGATCTCGCAGTCCTGGGCGGTGATGACGGCTTCTTTGTGGTTACATGTGCCAGATAATGCATCTGCCTTCGTGGTCAGAGCGTCGACGCGTTCTCTAGCAAGCGCGTGCGCTGCGGCGATATCATCATATTGCTTAGTAGTCGGTCGCCCTTCGAGCTGAACAATATGAGCTTGACATGTGGCGAGTCCGCGTGCGAGTGCCTCGTTCTTCTGTTGAAGCTGCTGTACCTGACGGGACGCTTGCGATATCGAGCTTTGTTCATTCTAACATGGATCAGTATGAGTCACGTATGGTGATCACGACCGGACGAATTGAGACTCACAAGGTGGAAAGGGTGAGCTCGCATAAAGATCTTGGTCGCAATAGAATGTGAAGAAGACGACGTGGTAGCCAATGGTTTGGAGGCGCTCAAGCTGCGTGACTGAGCGGCGCGCATGTTGCTGGTAATCAGCTGTGCCTGTGGTTCCTGGTTTAGAACGCTCTTTGATAACGCGAGCATGTTGGCGGAGGTGTGCACTGGTAGCTCCGGTCTTTGCCAAAGAGTTGAGCCCAGCGCTTGGGTGGTGGAAGCAGAACGCAGCAAGCGTAGTGCAAGTGACGTGTCGGAGCAGGGTATCGCCAAGTGATCACATGCAGCGTTTGGTTGCGAAAAGGCACGGGGCCACGAGCACTCCCTTCACTATGGTGGACCGTGCCCGAATACCTCTCGTATCATATCCAGTGAATTCGTATGTATGTATGAAGAAGACGGCAGGCGATGTCAGCCGGGGTATCGAATCGGAGCAAAGCGCGCCTCAGTCAGTTCTCCAGCCCACAAACACCTCGTCAGTTCTAAACCGCTGGGTGCAAGTCGTGTCGTTCAGCTCCGTCTCAACTCCAGTTCCATACTCTAATAAGCCAGCATGAGCAATCATGATGCCGTTATCAATGCAAAACATCTCGTCTGTTGCAAACACATTCCCACCTCTGTCTCTTGCCATCATGCCCATCATTTGCTGTAAACGCATGTTCGAGCCCACGCCGCCCACGACTAGCACTTGCTGTGAGCCAACATGTGCCATGGCTCGCTCGGTGATCTCGACAAGCATAGCGAAGATGGTCTCTTGCAGTGAGAAGCACATGTCTGCTCTTGTGACCAGCTGTCCATCTTCAGTCTTTAATCTCTTCTCGTCGGGTAATGACTCGTCTAGTCCGCGCGCGAGGAGATCGGCTGCAGCCAATATTCCCGAAAAGCTCGCATCCATGCCTTTGACGCCATATGGTAGATCGACGAGGTTCTTGCCATGTTTTGCCAGTTGCTCAACATTGTATCCGGGAAATGGGTCGTTGGGTATCATAAGTGTGCGGGCGAATCGATCGATGCAGTTTCCTATGGCAATATCCAAGGTCTCACCGAAGATGCGATACCGTTGGGCGGAGTAAGCAATGACTTGTGTGTTGCCACCAGATACGTATAGGACCACAGGGTTATCGGCGCGGGTTATTGAGCGGCCCATCTCGATGTCTGCATTATGTTAGCTAAAATTCCGATACATAGATTTCCTGGGACGCTTACGACCAACGCAGTGGTTCACGCCCACCATGGGCTTCCCCCACAGTAAACTGATTGTCCTGGCTGCAAGCGCGACGCTTTGTAATGGTGCACCCATACCTGGGCCCTTGGTGTAGCATATGCAATCGATGTCTTCAATTTTGACTCCCGCTTGACGCACAGCCTGCTTGATTAGCCTCACGACCCATGCTCGGTGATGTATTGCGGTGTCCTTGGGCAAGAAGCCTTCGCCGGGCGGGGAAACATAGGTATGCCGCAGGTTCGCGAGAATAATCGGTGGCTGGTTAGGGCCAGGGTGGGAGATGACACCGACACCTATCTTGTTGGCGCTTCCTTCCAGTCCTATGGCGATCATTGTGGCGGTCGTCGCGGTTCGGCGTTGATGTTTGACGCGTCGAGGCGGGGTGACGTTGGAAAAAGCTATCGATAAGGAATGACATGCATGAAGCCAGCGCTGGGCAACCACCAATGGCCAGCAGCCGTGCAAATTAAGTCGCGTGTTATGAATGTTCGCGGAGTCGCGATGCAACCTGGAATTGACGGAAATCAGTGCTGTAATGCCCTTGGAAATTATGGTATTTACGATTATTCCTGTGATAGAGCTTCTACGTCCGCAAAGGCACCTGGGCAGTGCGAGGGCAAGTGAAAGCCGACCTCTTTCAACATGTTTGCTAATCATACAACTCTTGCGAAATTCACGGTCGTCTTGTCAGATGATGGCGATGCTGCACGCTGCACGTATGCAGCAAGCAAGCCGATATAAAACCCACGAAAAGACGTCACAACGCCCGCGAGTCAGGTGCTGCAGGGTCTGTGAACCACCACAACAAAGTCCACTATTTCTGTCGCATATCTTCACAATCAATTCTTCATATCCCAAATCTATCCAGCTTTTCTATCCTCGCTCCAATCCCATCCCTCTTTGATCATATAACCAAAAGCAAGAGTTGCAAATTCTTCCACACCCCAGCCACCAAATCCTCCACCGCTCGGACCAAGCAGCCTCGGTACGCCGAACCGCTAAAGAATATCCACCAAATATCCAACCCTCCACAACAATCCCACGCCACACCGGACCGTTGCGCTATATGGCAGACTTCGACGGCGCCAGCCAGACCTTTCTGGCCTGGCTGAAGGCTTCTGGAGCGGAAATCAGTCCAAAGGTCAAGCTGCAAGATCTGAGGAACCAGGATGCTGGGCGAGGCGTGGGTAAGTAGCTACTCCACCTATGCATGCTGCCAGAACTACCTCGACTGCCACCACCCTCCATTGTACATTTGGCAGATCCATACTAACATAAGTCAAGTCGCGACTGAACCCATCGCCGAGCACGAACTCCTCTTCCGCATACCCCGCGCCTCCATCCTGAGCGTCGAAAACAGCATCCTCAGCCGCGAAATCCCCGCTTCGACATTCGCCCTCCTCGGCCCCTGGCTCTCTCTCATCCTTGTAATGCTCTACGAATACCACAATGGCTCCGCATCAAACTGGGCTCCTTACTTCGCCGTCCTGCCCACCGAGTTCAACACCCTGATGTTCTGGTCCGAGGACGAGCTAGCCGAGCTACAAGCCAGCGCCGTGGTAACCAAGATAGGGAAGGAGGGCGCAGACGAAGCCTTCACAGAGCAATTGCTACCTGTGATAGAAGAGTTTGCGGAGATAGTGTTTAGTGGGGATGAGAGGGCGAAAGATAAGGCGAAGGAGATGCGCAGCCCAGAGAATTTGGAGTTGATGCATAAGATGGGCAGTTTGATTATGGCGTATGCGTTTGATGTTGAGCCTGCGACACCCAGCAAAGAAGTAGACGAGGAAGGTTTTGCTGAGGAAGAAGAAGATGCGGCGCTGCCAAAAGGCATGGTGCCACTGGCTGACATGCTGAACGCCGATGCCGACAGATGCAACGCGCGACTCTTCTACGAAAAAGACTGCCTGGAGATGAAAGCGCTCAAACCCATTCCGGCAGGCGACGAGATCTTCAACGACTATGGCTCCCTTCCCCGAAGCGACTTACTGAGAAGATACGGCTATGTAACCGACAACTACGCGCAGTACGATGTCGCCGAGATCCCTGCTGAGCTTGTCACAGAGATCCTCGTCCGCGACGGCATCTGGCATCAAGACAGAATGGAGTATCTTGACGAACAAGAGGTGATCGATTCCGGCTACGACATCGCAGCCAGCAACCCATTCACCCTCCAGGAGAGTCTCTCCCCCGAGCTCGTCGTCCTAGTAGAAAGCATGCTCCTCCCATCCGAAGAATACGAGCGTCTTAGCAGCAAAGGCAGACTACCCAAACCAGAAAAGATCACTAGCAAAGGCGCGGAAGCGCTGCAAAAGATTGTTCAGGCACGCATTGCGCAGTATGCTACATCGCTAGAGGATGACTTGAAGACGTTTGACCAGGTCCCACCTGTCGACGCTGCATCGAAGAAGCAGCGGAGGCTTGCGATGGCAAAGGCTGTGCGTATCGGCGAGAAACAGCTCCTGGCTCAGACAAAAGATGCGCTGGTGGAGAAGATTGCAAGAGATGGCGGTGCGGCGGCGAAGCGGCAAAGAGCTGTTGATGAAGAGGGGGATGTAGAGATGGGCGGTATGGGGAAGAAGCACAGAGTTTGATCAACTCCAGACTGTACCCGTCAGCACGTGCTGTGGTTACGTTGCGATTGCACCAAGAAAAAAAATCTGATCATCAGAACGATATTCCAGATGTAAAAGATGATTTGGTAAGTTTCTGCATTTTTTTGTCGCCAAGTGAAGTGCTTGCGGCACTCACGGCGTTGGTATGTATGTGTATCCAAGTATCGACTTGCTGACTTATGTTCCATCTAGGTCGCTGCCCTTCCACCCACCCACCAACCGACCAACCGGCCACCCATCCTCCCTCCCTCAAATCTATAGGGCTAGTGTACATAGCTTTGGTAGATGTTTGAAGCCAGAGCCCGCCGAACGAATAGAAAACAAAGGGTATAATTTGTCGACAAGAAAAGCGCTGAACGAAGAAGACTGAGCAAATTGTGGGTATCATCTTCCCGCTGGTCCTGCGCCTGTCGCGCTTGTCGGTGTGGGAGGAAGAAGATGGCCGGACGCAGATCGATTATGGTTCTCAATCGACCGGCGATTGGGATTTGCTGGTGGTTGCTGGGCCGCTGCCTTCTCGCCTTGACGCTCAATCATGATGCGGTATCTGATGTGCAGGTTGTCAGTCCAATCAACGGGATAAGTTTCCTCATCCTCGCTGCTATCACCAGAGAATCGCCATCGGTCTGCCAAGCGATCATCAACCCGCTCCGTCTTCTGACGCTTCACGCCTCGTCGGTCGATCATCATGCGCCCGCCTCGACCGATTCTACGACGGAACCGAGATTGATCGTGGAATGGAACGTCATCTGGAGGAGTGGCGAAACGAATACGCGTGCTTCTCCGTGGATCTGTCTGCTTACTCGACGGCACCACTGCTGTGGCATCAGCACCCTCTCCATCAGATACGGATGCAGGAGGCGTGGGAAGCTGACTCTCCGTGAAAACCGTACGGAAGTCCGACTTCGCAGCGGGTGGCTCCAGAGGGGGTGTAATGGGCCGCCATGTTGCGTCGACCCACCCCACGTTCCACTTTTGGTGCTTGACCAGGTTGTCTTCGATGAAGCTATCAATGGCCTCGGTTCGCTTGGCTTGCTGCTCCTCGAGGTATACAATGTCACCGTCAACAAGGCGCCCGTCTGGACGCGTGTTTGTGGGTTTCATGCCAGGAAGCGTCTGGCGCTGTCTCTCGACATCGGCAGTTCTCTTGGGCTTGGGTGCAGGCTGTGGTGGGTTAGTCATCTGTGCAAATGCTCTGGTAAGTTCATTGCGACATACCTTCTGAGTGATGAGCAGCTCATCGTCATCACCCTTGATACTGAGTCGTCGCTTAAGCTCCTTGACAGCATGCCGTTGCTCGAAGATCAATTTGTCCGTCGCAAGTTGTTCTCTTTGGATTGCCTCTCGCCGTTTCACTTGCGACATCAACAGACGTGCCTCCTCCAGTTCCTTCCTCAGCTTCTTCAGCTTCTCGGTTACTTGCGCGTCGCGACCACGCGTCTTACGGACTTGCCGCACCTCACGTCGCCTGAAGCAAACATACGGATCAGCATCATCGGTCTCGAGGTTCGTCTCGAACTTTAATGAGGGCATAAGCGGGCGGTTGCCTTTCAGTAGCCGTTGGTTCTTCCAATGTGGGTAAATATCTCGTGCGAACCGACGCGCCGACTCGCTGATGGTCTCATCGAACTCTGCTTCGAATTCCTCGTAAGAAAGAACAGGCGAGTTGTCGACGGCTGCATACGGTTGTTTTATCGCGGTGGTCTCTTCGAAGAAGTTGATCACCTCTTCAAACTCGTCTTCTGAGCAGTGGTTGGTTTTGCCCTTCTTTTGGTTGTAAGACTTGAGAAAGGCGACATCATCACTGGTCATGCAATACGGACAGCCAGATGTATCTTCGACGGTAGACGAAAATCGAATGTAAGTGGCGGGCTGCGTGAATCGTTTTGGATAGACATCTTCATACTGCAGTGTACTCGCGACAGCATCCGGAGTTGGGATGTAGAGCTGTGCGATCTTCCCACCAGTCGCTCCCTGCGCTGCTGCCTGGGCGGCGGATATGACAGCTTGTAAATGGTGCTCCTAAACATGATGTTAGTATGTGGTGGGTAAGGGAAAGGGAAAGCCGAAAGCGGCCTAGCGCGACTTACAATCTCCTCGCCCTTCTCAACACCGGTCTCAACCTTGGGAATATGGCGCGACGCATCGTCATCAGCAAGCTGCTCAACATCTTGTTCGCGCACGACAGGTAAATTCTGTTTTGTCGATAGCTTGCGCTGTCTGAAGCGTTGTCCGGTCGCGCGAGCCGTCATTGTTGTCTGTCGTTATGCACGTGACGACGGTTTGGGCTGCGTATGGGGCTTTGGTTGCAAATCTGGCGCCGGGGGCCAGCCAGCGAAGAGAGGAGTCACGCTCCCAGAAGCGCGATCCGACCACCAACGCGTCGCAATATTGTCGATATGGGTGTCAAAAGTGTCGCACGGACTTCCGCATGCGTTTTATCGCGTCGAAAGTGATGAAATGAGGTGTTGGGGTGCTGTTTGGCGATGGAAAAGGTTTAGGTGGGCGGCGATGTCGAGCGTGTTCAGCGGATGCGTTGGGGCGGCTTTTTTGGCAAGGAAGTTGCGCACGCAATGGACCAATCATAAGAGAGATCGCCGAGGATAGGTGGAACCTGCGCGATCGTCTTCTGCCCATCGTGCACACTTAGAGGTAGCTGCACATCTTCACCTTCATTGCCTCCGAAGCAGCAACTGCAGAAAGAAGTGCAGCATGCGTACGTGTTTGCATTTAATGTTACTGCGTTCCATGGTTCTGCGTGGAAGGGAGTCCGGATGGCGTTAGCTCGCCTTGGCATGACGCCTGCGGTGACTTCCAGCATCCACGCCATCACCATAACAACACCTGCACCAGCGGCATGCTCGTTCCAGCCAGCGCTTACAGACGTGGAACACTTCTCAACTGCGCACGTTGCACGGCCTGTACCTTGAAATGGACTGCTTTGAAGCCATTCCAATAGTCTTCAACATCCTCGGATACTGACGGACTACAACCATCGAAAAAGCACGCAATCTCATCAAGGCTTAAGTATGATGCCACTCTACGCGCAACTATCTTCAATGGTATGCATACAGTTTGGCTAGGTTCGCTAGGAAGTGACACCCAATGTGAGGCGTCTTCCACGCTGTACGACTGAGTCTACACCCACTGCGTATTCGCTGTTTATACTTATTTCTCTCACGCATCAGCCCTGCCAAGACGACGTGCGAATTACACGTATCCTGTTCTCCATTCTCAAAGCTGGCGACTTTGTTTCTTGGATTGGCCTGATGCTCAAGACAGTACCATTCGTCTCGCCTTGCCTCTACTAATCAACCTTCACTGGGAGAGGGTTTCCCGTCATGTTGTATCCCGACTCATATTCCACACTCTTACGGCTCCACTCCTCGTCCAAATATACTAAACAAACTCTATACATCCAAGCGGGCCAATTCTCACGATATCCGTGACGCATCGGCGTTGTTGCAGTCTGTCTTCTCGCTCGGAACGCCTCGGAATGTTCGGAATGTGCTTCCATTAATAGGGCTTGGGGCCTACGTGCATCACAGCAACCGCGCCGCAACCGCGCCCCCAACAATACACGCTCAGCTCGCTATCACTCTGCTCCCATCCCCTCGACGTCTACCTGCAACTACACACCTGTCCACAAATCGAACGCTCGCGGAAAACACGGCATTTTCAGTCAGCCCATTAGAGTCGCTAGCTTGACATGGATCGGTTGCCGCAAGAACTCGTCGAGGAAATCACCAAAAACCTGCCCACGGACGATCTCAAGAACGTTCTAACTGTCTCCACAAAGTTTCGTTATGCCGCGGAGAGATATTCTGGCGCTTTCACAGAGTTTACCCTAAATGAGCGTAACGCGGACAAGTTCCTTGGGCTTTACTCAGGACACCGGCTGCTTTACTTGCGGGAATTGCACTTTCGCCCCAACTTCCCTCCAACTTGGCCTCCCGACCCCTGGCCCTGGGAAGACGAGATGTGTCGCGAAAACGCCGATGCAATCAGAGCCAAAAATGAGTGCTTCACGCGTCAGGTCCATTCGCTGTTCACAACGCTCAGTACTGTTGAGGAGAATGCTGCACCCCAGCATGCCTCTGGTCGATATCGAATCCAGACACACGACCCCTCCAGGCTGATTCATGTGGAGATATACTGTCCTCACCAGGAATACATCAGTTGGCGCATTCGTCTGCTCAATACGGAGCTTCCCCTGGTACATTCAGTTCGTTCGCTGGAGATTTGCAACGAATGCCCAGAAGACGCGAGTGTTTACCACGATAGTCACGGTTATCCTGCAAATTACAGAAAGTGTTTCGATGGTGGATTGTTCAAACTGGACTTGGGGGTCATGGTCGATCTGGTATCGAAGCTTCCAAACCTGGAGTATCTCGGCTGCAAGACAGGAGGGTTCGAATGGGCTCCTGCATTTTCAGGTAATGATGGTAGTGAAGACCCCAACAGACACTTCCAAAGCGATTGGGATGGCCCACGTCGTGATGCGAGGCACAATTTCGCACACGCTGTCATCTCTCACCAAACCCAGCTTCCGACCTCGCTTCAGCGGGCGAGCCTGGATTTCGTCAGCCCGCTGATACGCGCACTTGACACTATTCAAGACAGGCCTTTACCTAATCTAGTTGGTCCAGCTCTCCGCGACCCATTTAGCGCCAGCCTTCGTATCCTGACCAATAATCTGCGACAACTGCGCCTGTGGGCGATTGTTGATGAAAGCCTGTTCAGCATGGACGATAATTCACAGCCGCAATGGCCCAATCTGGAAATTCTGGAAGTCATGTTCCACCCTTCGCGGCCTGACGGATCGTGGTACTTCGTCGGACCTCAAGGCCACGGCCGCGAGGCTGTCGGTTACGACATCACCGCTGCCTCGTACCCCCCTCTTGAAACGACCGAGCTCGACATTGATATGGAGGAGCTTGTAACCTCCGGGCATCTCTCCAACTTACCCAATGGCGCGCAAAATCAGTTTCGTATCACACCAGATGAAGCAAGACTGAGGCCGCTCCTAGCAGGATTTTCCAGTGCAGCAGCGCAAATGTGCTCTTTGAGGAGAGCTCTCATCTGGACATCGCTGAATTGGTATCCGAAATATGACTACGCAGAGTCCCAAGGCTGGGACTCGGAATATCAAGGACCTGGGTCTAACTGGAGGTCTAACTGGGCTATACAATATTCCGATCAAGACAATGGTATCTGGGGGTCACCATCGCACTATCTCCCAAGTCAACAAAGAAACAACGATCCAACGATACGTTGCCTAGTGTGGATGGTGGCAGCATGGCGTCCAGATGCGGAGCTGCGCCGTCTTTTCCAGAACATTGGGCGAGAGAAGCACGGTAATGATCTGGTCGAGCACTGGGGGGAGGGGTACAGATCTTCCAACTACAGCAATCTTCGCAATTGGATGCTTGATGATCACCAGGGTGACCCAGGCCGCATTACTCCTTCGTTGTCGTAGGATTTGGACTGCGAGAAAAGCATGCGAGCAGAATGAACGAATATTGCTGTTAGTGCCATGTAGATGCAGAGCTCACGTTCCAGATTCAAGATGTTTTGTTGTTCTTATCTCTGGTGACGTCGGTGACGCCGGTAAAGTGTGATTCCGTGTAAGATCGAGGCGGAGCTATCGACGAGCAGCCTTCGTGAGCGGCGTTTGCGATCCGCGACAATGCCGCAATTTGAGTAACACCATTATTGGCGACCTGGTCGCATTCGCGGTTGTTTCGCTGGAAATAAGCGACGTTTCGGTGTCCGATTCCAACAATGGTGGGGCTGAATTACCTCACCACCGTAAGCCTTGCAAGTCATTGGTAGCGCATAATCCTCTCGGCTCTGCTTAATCCGACACGACCAAAAGAGACCACTACTATCGTCCGGAAACTGGCACCGCGTTACCTGGTGAAGACTTCGACTATCTCGCGCAGGCCTGAACATGCCGCCCATTCGAAATACATCGTATCTAGCCTGGCTTTCTTTGGCAATAGGTACTTGAGTTCGTCGATTTGCAAGAGTCCATCTCGTCTCCCAGTCGCATCTCGACGGAATCTTGCCATGGCTCTATCATGACGTATACTTCGACTGTGCCATGCATTCAGGAGTCTGTCAGCTTCATCTAACATCAAGCGGCACAGTGGAACTGGGTTGTATGAGTCTCTGCCACGACAACCATGTTCTGGGGCTAAGATGTTCCTTCAGGAATGGGAAGCTTACAGCAGTCGTCATACCTCATGTACCGTCACATTTTTGAACGGCAATGTTCACTGAGCCTCAGAGGCACAGGCTGCCGGGTCCAAAATGACAGCTCATCGACACTCCGAATAGCCAGACCTCACGGCGTGGTTGTATCAGACTGCTTCATGCTAATAGTAGATCTTGGGGGCGTACTTCCCAAGTATACTCAAGACCAGAATCGATATGAGTATATAAGACTAGGTTTGAACGCGCAAGAGACGGCCATCGAACTACATCGCACCCGTTTTTGCCCAATCGTATCTTTACTATACCAAAATTCAACATGAAGGCGTTCCTCAGTCTGTTAGCCGGCCTGACGACATGCATTATCGCAGAGAATTGCGATCCCATCGCCTACGAGCAGTCCAATCCATACGGCTTGTCAGAGACGAAGGATCCCGAAGTCATGAAGAAGCTGAACAAGTATCTAGAAGACAGTAGATGTCACATGCTATCCGACGGGTCGGAGCAGAATGTGAAAGAGCAGTGCAAGAACGTTTGCATCCCAGGTGACAGCACAGCGGAGGGCCAGATCGTTGTGTCTTCTCAAAGTTGTATCTTTGGTGACAATCCCTGGTACCCGTTCGTTGGTGGGCCTGCTCTTCTGTGCGGTGCGGACAAAACGTATGACGGTATGTCTTCCTGGGTATGCACTTTGTACACATTGGATTTCAAGACTAAGATCAAGTTTAGGCTTGATGGTTAAGCCAGGCTACTGCGCTTGTGATCTTCCGATATTGGAATTTGCAGGCGAATTCTTCATTGAAGGACTGATCGAAGCTGGCAAGATCCTCGAGAAGGTTCTGTGTCCCGCGTTGAAAGCCCTCGATGTAGTAATGGCCATTGGGATGGCAGCACTTCCCCCACCAGGACGAGCCATCACAGGTGGAATGGGTACGCGAGAATCATCTCTTTTGTTTAGTAGCAGACGCTAAAAGATGATTGTAGTGGCCGCTATCCGATCAGCAAAGGCGTACAAGTACGCCCATGAAGCGCAAGACGCAGCGCAAGAATGGGCCGACTTCTTCCTCAGTGGTGCAGACTTTGCGGGACAAGCAGGTTGTAGCCCGCTGGTACCAAGCCGGGACGACTTGATCAAGAAGGCCTTTACTCCTCTGGTCGATGCCCCGGACGAGCTTGTCCCGGGTGGGATGAACTACGACGACCTACCATGTCCCGCAAAAGGCTGCAAAGGATGCAAAGGTCCACGCTGCACGAGAAACGGCGGGAACGGAGACGGAGATACGACCAAGGCTAGTGCCAAACCAGCCCCGACTACTGCAAGTGACCTTCCTAGCAGTAGAGCTCCACCGGTAGAAACGACTGTTCCGTTCAAGACTTCTTCAACCTTCGCAACGTCTTCTCTTACCGCGTCTACGATCTCCTCGCCGACATCTTCCACAACTCCGCCTGTCACGTCAACAACGCTTGTTTCCACCACTTTGTCGTCCTCTTCCTCAGCAGCAACCTCCTCCTTGTCCTGCAAAGATCTGGCAGCGCTAGACAAAGATGAAGTCGTAGATGAAACCAGCCTTCTTTCACGAAGCTACCCAATCGATCTTAGGTATGCTCGCCTTGAGAAGCGTGCGAAACCCAAGGAAGGAGGAGCTTGCGGGTACACACTTAAGAGTTTTCCTTACCCAGCCAGTGGAGAATGGGTAGATCGATCACCCAAGAGGTACGGATTCAACAAAAAGGATTCGTGCGACGACTACAGTATGGATAGCCCGGATGAAAGCGCCAATGTCAATTATGAGACTGAGCATGTCCTGGAATGGCAATCTGTTTGGCAATTCTTCAATGCGATGGAGAAGGAAATCACGACCAAGTTTCCTAATCCTGATCCGCGGAGCAAGAAAACCATGGTCGGTTTTTGTGAATACTGGAAGGATTCTTGGACTTGGCCAAAACATCGCATGGACGGACCTCCTTCCATCCCGATAGCGACCCCAGATGTGGATGGTACCCCCGATCTAGACACGGCCCCCGATCAAGCTCCCAAGCAGCGTAGTCCTCCTGACTGGCTGGCAAGTGTATACCCATACAAAAAAAGTGGTGAGGAAATGTGGCTCGAGGAGATGCCATTAGTGGAAGAAGGGATCAATGCAAAATACAAGGGACAGGTACGTATAACCCTCACACTTTTGAGAAACAAAGAACCATGCTTACAGTATTCCCATCACAGCTGTTCCGGCAAAAGAAGACCAATAAAGGCAAATACCGTCAGATTCTCGACGAGGACAACATGAAAGCGCTCATCGAGGGGCGTACTGAGGAATCGAGGTACACCTCACTGAGTCCCAGTGACCAATCTCGCAAAGCGATTCAGAAATTGCGGCCTATGATCGGAGCTCTCAGATACATGCAAGAAGACGAAGTCGCAAAGATATTCTCGAATCAAAAGAACAGGATGGGCGCAATGATCGGATACATCGACCGAGAACTACACAAAACGCCACGGGAATTTGGTCGAGGTACAGCCGCAGTCGTCGCGCGTCCATGGCAGGAGCAAGGACTTGAGAAGAAATGGGACGCGTACATGGACAATGTGTTTGCGGTGGCAAAGCAGAGAGCTACAGACTTCATGGACCCTCATCTCGCCAGTCTGAAAGCTGAATGGGAGTCTTCGAAGAAGACCGAAGTATCCGACGACTTTCAGGGTGATTCCCAGGCAAAGCAGACAAAGAAGAAGGAACTGGAACAAACAAAGAAGGACATGCTGGCTCTCATCAAGAAGACCAAGGACGAATGGGACAAGGTCAAAGATTGGGAGATGCCGTGGACAGCAAAAGATCAAAAAGACACGGGAGAGGATGGCGCCGATGAAGAAGACGAAGGAGAAGCAGGCCAAGATCGGGTCTGAGAAGGAGCACTCACCTTGAGACAGGGGTTGCACTGATTGGTGATGATGAAAGCTTGGCAGTTGGATTGGGGGCTGGTTCTTAGATGACAGCTGCCTGGGGCGCTGGGGGATGTTTCATCTGACATTTACGTACTGGACTCATGACTGTGTTTCATCTCACTCGTTTGTTATTTGGGTAGTCGTAACCGCCTTACGATGCTCGTTCGCCACTCTTTCCTATCTATCGCCCGTCACGGGTCCATCATTGTTCTCTAGTAGAACACTCATGCAAATGTATTGCTATAAGCACGACGTATCACGCTTGTCTTCTCTATTTTCAAGCGACCTCACCGACGATAGATGCGATGAGCGATGGGTAGGAAGGAGCCAGCTGCTCCTTGCTTGGCGCTGCTCTAGCGCTCGGAATGTCTCGGAATGTCCCGAATTAGCCGCATCCAACGACTACGCCGCAAATCAGCCCTGAGCTCTGCAACACGCACCTTCGTCGTGGACAGTAATCTTCCATTATCATCTCCGCAGCCTTCCCATATAAGTTTGATCGCTCCCCAGCACCGCATTCAGTCAACCACCAAACATTACTCATTACCTCAACTCATATTGTCTTTCACATACTCACACCATCATGAACCAACTCGCACAAGAGCTCATCGAAAGAATCTCTAGCTTTCTACCTATAGAAGACTTGCGCAATGTTCTCATCCTAGATAGAAAGTTTCGCTATGCAGCAGAAAGACACTCTGGGGCTTTTGCTGAATTCGCAGTCACTGAGAGGAACTCAGCCGACTTCCTCATGCGCTTCTCTGGTCATCGTCTCCTCTATCTAAGAGAGGTTACTTTCCGGCCAGACGTCTCGGCAGCTTACGACTTGAAGGGTAACGACAATGATGATCGACTGTTCAGTCGAGAGAATGCCGACGAGGTGCGAGAGAGAGACGAGTCATTCACCCGCCAGATACAATATCTTTTCGACACCCTTCAGCTAGTCGAGAAGCAGGCCGGAGAGTATCACGCTCCGGGCAGGTATCGACTCACGATCTACAACCCGATAAGAAGAACGGAAAACGAAGACGTATGCCCCCATCGCTATATGACCAGCTGGCGCGTCCAGCTACTAGCAAGGAACTTACCTCCAATCACGTCCATACGATCGTTCAGAATTGTTAGTAACGACAGTAAAGGGTACGAGTACGATCACCCTCCCTACGACCCCTACGGATATACGTATTGCCTTCGATACAACGAATCTGGGATGCAGGAATCGAAGCTTGACCTGCGGATTCTCATCGACCTAGCTATCAGCATGCCCAATCTAGAATATCTGGGCACCCGAACCGGAGGGTACGAATGGTGCGAAACCCTGGATGAAGATGAAGATCCGTGTAGTGGACACTTCGAGCACGACTGGACAGGACCGCGACGAGATGCCCGACATGATTTCGCTGCCGCAGTTACCAGCTGTGTCGACAAGCTACCCAAAACGCTGAGGCGAGCTACGCTCGATTTTTTATACCCCTTAAGTCGGGTGACTGACTATGATCACGGAACGCTTTTTCCAGATCTTGTAGGTAGCAACCTTACTCACGATCCTTTCTCGACGAGCCTCGGTATTTTGTGCAACAACCTTCGCCACCTGTAAGTCATGCTCATGCACACACAAACTAACATGAGACCAATACACTGACTCGTACATTTAGGCAACTACGGGCCATGATTGATGAGAGCATCTTCCACGCACTGTCGCCACAGAATTCCGCAACATCACACACTCCCTGGCCACACCTTGAACTACTTGATCTCATGTTTCACAACGCCCGTCCCGATGGAACATGGTATTTCCAAGGCTCCGACGGCCAAGGCGACGTTGCACGCGGTCTCCCTGTCACAGATGCTTCCTACCCACCCCATACTCATACGCAGCTCGATGAGGACATGGACGAGTTTTTTGAAGACTACATTCGGGCCGGAAGACAGACACGTGGTAAGGATAATCACGAGTTCCGGGTTGCTCCTCATGCCAATCTCATCTTACTTCTCGAACGCTTTGCAAGATCAGCGATACAAATGCCGGCGCTCAAGGAAGCAGTAATATGGTCACCCATACAGGGGCAAGATGTGTACCCGGAGCGGCCGATGGGTAGTCAACGTGACCTAGATGTGATATGGAGTATTGAATACGCTGAACCCTGGTCCTCCTTCAATGCTAGACCAACTCGGCAATTAGATTGGGCGGTAGGAAAATGGCGCCCTGGGAAGGAACTGCACAGCCTTTTTCAGGAAATTGGACGCGCGAAACACGGGGATGAACTTGCGGAGCGCTGGTACCAGGATGACGAATGGGAGGTAGGGTGGTCTTTGTATGAAGTGGAAGGCATCGCGAAGAGTAGGTTTCGCAATTACGGGAAATGCGTTTGAGAAGGGGTATGGACGAATTTATAACCACGTTGTAGTCCTCCACGAAATATCTATTATAAGGTTTACGAACCGACCAATTTACTGAATAACAACCTAACTAACAAACAGCATAACTAATTTATTGACAGCCTAACAACCTAACTAACAACCTAAAAGACTAAAAGCTAACTCTGAAACCAATAACCTCAGGGCAGAAACAGCGACGCCTTCTCCTATCCCTCACACCCTCCACATAGTCTTTAACAAACCTACCTACGTAAGTTGTGGGATAGTCGCATCACCAGGGAATCTTGCAACACCTCATATCCATGCCCACTTCATTTTACTAAACTCCCCATCATCTCATTTCTTTGCCAGAACAATAAACAATAAACAATATCATTACAACTAAAACTCTACTAACCCTGGAGCCTACGTTGGCGTTGAGTCGACTACTTTGCGTGGTGTAAACTCGATGTAAGCTGCAGGCCTAACGCACCCCATCACCCCACCACCGTTCCTCCCCTCTCTCTCCCTCCATCCCCTCAAACCCATCCCGTACAAACGCCCACCCCACACTCACCGCATAAAACTTCCAAAATTCAAAAACGTACTCCCACTCGGTTTCTGCGTCGCACTCCTCGGCGTAACCGGCCGAGCCTTGTGTTCCAATTCCTCTTTCGCTTGGACCGTGACGGGTTTGAAGGACATGGGTTGGTACGGCGGGCCACCTTGTTGGGTGGAAGACTGTTGCTGAGGTTGCGCTTGCGACGACTTTGGCTGAGAATATGACTGGGATGATTGCGGGTGCCATGGCATACCAGCCGGAGCCCAATTTGTCGAATTTGTATTTGTATTTGAGGCTGTTGTGTTTCTGAAGGAAGTGGGTTGCTCGCGGGTGTACAATCCAGAGGGTTGTTGTGTAGATGCAGAAAACGTGGATAACAGCGGCTCACTGCGTTTCCTCTGCAAATTCCTCCGTCGACTATCCTGCGCCGACTTCTCCAGCTTCTCAGCAATCTTACTCGTCTTCGCCGTATCCATGGTGAACCAGCCCGCATCCAGAATCTCCTGTGCTGTAGGCCTATCCGTAGGAACCGGGTTCAGGACCCAGCTCAGGAACTTGATTTCCTTCTCCGGAACACCCTTCTCCAGCAACCTCTCCCAGTGTTGTCCTTCGTGGTGCGAGCGGTCGTGGTATGGAAGTCTACAGCCGTCGTAGTAGTCCAAGGCGCCTAGTCCGAAGTCGTGTGCTATAGCTCGTTCGACGGATCGTTCTTTCTGGCCTTGGCCTGTGTTGCCTTGGAGGAGCTCGTCGTAGATGCCGTATTTGTTGAAGGAGGCCTGCGCTTCGAGGAGCTGGCAGTAGATGACGCCCCAGGACCAGATGTCGGCTGGCTGGTTGATCTCGTTGCGGAAGTAGACTTCGGGGGCGCGGTATACGATGGGTTGGACGAGGCCTTTGGCTGGCTCCATGACGATTCCTAGGTCTCCGAGTTTGGCGGTGATGCGGTCGTCGCCGACGGAGGCTTTTTTGTTGGGTTCGTCTTCGAAGCCGCTGAGGAGGATGTTCTGCATCTTCAGGTCTGGATGGGGTTAGCTTTTACTTGTCATCCTGGTCGTGCGTGTAGAGGCTCACCTGCATACACCAATCCTCGTTGATGCACATCCCGCAAGCCCATCAACGCCGAGCGCATGATACCCTTGAGTTCCACATCACTGAACTGGCGCTTCTTGCGCGCATCCCAGAGAGTCGATTGGAGGATCTCGAGCACGATTCGGGGCGGTTCGCCTCTAGCGGATGGTGGGATGCGGTCCACTTGTTGTCGGATCGTTGGAATGCCCTTGAGGAGCTCGTGCATGATCATCTCGTGTTGGAACTTTGGCCATCCAAAACCGACGTCATCGTCGCCGGGTTGCTTCACGATGAAGATTTTCGATTGAGAAGCTGCGTCGACAGCGACCCATACATTGGCCTGACCGAGTGGCTTGACGAGAAGGTAGCGGTAGCCGTGTTCGCCGACGAGCTCGGCGCCCTCGCGCATTTGGACTGTAGCTCCAACCATTGTGAAGTGGCGATCCGGGTTAATCGAGGTTCTAGTATTCGACACAGAAAGCGTGTATTGGTGTGATTTGGGTTGAGTCGGTTTGGTTGTGAAAGTAGTAATCCCTCAAGTCCCATCCATCGAAGTTGATGAGCAGAAAGGAGGAAGCGACGTCAGGTACAAGATCAGGATATGGGAACGAAGTGGATCCAGACGGACGGATACCGGCTGTCAAGTTCCTAAACTTAGAGAGAACGGTGTTTCCAACATTGGGAGCTTCAAGCTTGAATTGGCTGCTTGATTGCGCAGGGCCGAGCGATGACGGAAGGCCTGCAACGGTTACGGAAGTGGCGGACTAGTGTTGTCATTGGCCGCTGCGTAGTGGCCATGGCAACTCGTGTCGATCTGGCGTTGTTGATGCTCAATAAAGTGCATGCGATGCTGCATTCGACCCAGGGACACAGCCTTTACCTGGATGTAGATCTTTGAGGCTTAGGTATTTCGGGAAGAGTTGTGGAGTCGGAGGTCGATGCCGGCGCGTTACCCAGCTGAACATCTGAGATCTACCATGATCATCCCGCGCACCAAGATACAGCCTCGATTACCAGCGCCAAAGACAACCACGCATTTTACGAGGCATGAATAAATCTATCCTGCTGCTGCATTGCCACTGCAAAGAACCTCCACCGCCCCTCCGCCTTCCCTCCTCGAGGTGCCTACGTCATCAATCCCAAAGCTGCGCAGTGGCCACGACAGTCTGCCGATCTCTCCATATTGAAAAAGTAAACAAACTCCACTTACTCTTGAACGTCGATTGGGTTCATATCAACCTTGCAGTTACCAGCGACGTACGTGCCAGCATTGGCCTGGCACATGCGACGTCGCGATATAGTTACGAACACAGTAAGCTTGATGACAAGGGGAGGGAAGTAGCGAGGCGGAAGGGTCAGGGCTGGGGGGCCAATCATATGCGGATGAGGGAAACAAGTGGGGCAACACTTGCGTGTTCGCATGTCGTTCGGAAAGCTCGGAAAGACAAAGTTCCTCAACCGTTCGTGGGTTGAACATGGAAGATCCTCTTCATGGGAGGTCTGTTTAGTTATTTTGGTTTTTGTTGATGGCGCTCCGCAGTCTTGTCGACAGCCATGGTCTGACACTCAAACACGTATTCATGAAAATTCATAGTATCATACTGGTAATTACTCAATACATTTCATATTAACATAAGCAATAACGCTTCTTCTTCTATCTAGATAACAACACTTCGCATCCCTAAGCCGAGCTCTTCGGTCTTTCATCCTGATGCCTCCGCGGTCCGGCCCCGGTCTGGCCCTTTCCCTTTCTATGAGGATTCCACCCAGAGTCTCCTTCTTCTGGCAACGACAGTGGTCCAGCCTTTTTCATGTATACCAACAGCGCCGGTTGTGGTCTAAACACCACAGTGAAAACAACAGTTAAACAAGCTAGGAGGGCAACGCAGCCCCCGATCAATAATGTGGATAGAAGCGAACAAAAAGGTTTGTGGGGTAACGTAGAAGCGAAAATACAAGGCGGCTGCGATGATGATGGTGGAAAACGCCGGATAAATGCAAGACATGTGAACGGACGTAACGCTGAAACAATGCAATGCGCGGACTGGATGGTGCGATTAGACTTCGTGGCGGTCGTCGAGCTCGAAGCTCCGTTTTTGGCTGATGCGACGGTAGAAGGGCATCCTTTGGTTGAAGTAGCGCATCTTTGGCGATCCAGGTCCGGTCGTGCGCTTGTTGAGAACGAAGAACTTGTACAACATGCCGAGGATTGCAAATCCAACAACGAATCCGAAGACGGTAACAAGGAGCCAGTGCTTGGCGAGCCAGAAGATGATCTTGACATCGGTCCTGTGCCAGCTGTTTCCGAGGTGGTGAGTGAAGAAACTCCAGGGGTGGTTGTTGTATTCTTCGGGGAACAGGATGCGCACGCGGTTCTGGTCGATGGGGCCGGCGTTGTTGTAATGTCTCCACACAAGACTGAGGAAGAGAGGTCCGGTGGAGGCCATGACGGTGATGTAGGGGAGTGGCCAGCGACGGTTGTAGTCGGTCAGCGAGTCAATGGCCTTGAGGAAGAAGGGGTGACGAGGGACCGCGCCCATGGCATCGTTTGAGATACCAGTGGGAATGGTGCGGCGAACCCAGGCTGGGTAGGCAAGAAGAGGGTCGAGACTGCGGTTGCATCCCTGAGAATGTTAGCATTGCGACATTTGAGAGGACATGCCATACGTACATCGTCCAGGTCAATGTAGATTCCACCAAAGTGGTGGAGGACAAAGTAGCGAATAGCATCGGCGCGCTGGATGGGGTAGGGGTAGCCGTCGAAGGTCTCGAGGAACCATGGGTATCTGACGATGTTAGCTAAGACCTCGCGTGATGTGGACGTAGGAGCGCCTACTCTTGAGCGATAAACTCGCGCGACTTCTTGTCGGTCCACAGCTTGTACTCGTAGTCGGGATGGAGGTCCAGGCAGCTCTGCTGGGGGCCCTTCCAGTGCAGCGGTATGCTGTCGTTGATGTACGTCTGGTGGATGATCTTGGGGATCAATTGCGGCGCATCACTAATCGCGCTCGAGTTGGGCGCAGGGAGTTCTCCGCGGAGAATGGCATCCTCGCGGCCAGTCGCAATCAGAAGACCGAGCAGTGTCCATACGCTGTGTACCGCGAAGCCGAGGACGACGATGGTGACGAGCAGGAACATGGTGACGCCTCTCCGCATGGTTGCTGTATTGTTCTCTGCCTCCTTTCCCGATGGATCGTTGTGCACGGACTAGGTGGTGAGTGAAGAAAAGGCGCGAGGGCGGGATAGAGATGTGGTATTAAAAGAGGTATAAATCAAGCATCCGGCAATCATCAACGTCCGTCTAGTACTTGGCGAGAGAAGGAGGGAGAAAGGGCAGAGGCGTGGGCGTGAGACAAAAGACGAGCGCTGCGCGTCTAGAGGGCTAGAGTGAGGCTGTGCACAGACGCCCAATCTCAGGAGGCACGCTAACGGGGTTCGCGCCTGCCCCCTCCAGGCACTTCACATGTCAAACACGGTTCGAGCTGCGACCATCCACCCCCACACCGTTGCGGTGAATATCTGAGTGTGCTCGCCTTGTTCCACCGCTCTTGGGTCCAATTTCACTGTCTGGTCAACACAAACAGCCCCGTCTTTCACTCGCAGCCAGTTCCATAAGCCGTCATCGTCGCGAGAGGCTGTGTAGTGAGGCATTTCCGTCCCGCCTATGACGCGATGCTGCAGCGCGCTACATCTCCCACACTCGCTTCCCACCAGTTCCCACATTCCTACGCCGCCAGCCAAGAGCAGCTCACATGTCTCCTACGTCGACCAAGCAGTTGCGCAGTACGCGCGATAACCTTGGAAGCTAACAGCCCGCAGTGTATGTACACACCGTTGCTAGGCGCCCTGGCGTGTGTTTGGCGGGCAAATTTCTTTTGCGCCTGCTACTAGTCGATCAGGACCCACCAAACTGGGAGAAAACCCAGCAAAGAGATGGACCTTGGTAGACTAGCGCCCAATTCGACAGTCGGCGCATTCAGTGCTGTCTCGGTAGTTTTTGCTATCGTGACCCTGGTACTTGGTCTCTTACTCCCACGGCAGGAAGCGAGATCCATGACGTACCAACACCAAGCCTCGTCTACACAATGACGATGTTGTGTTGAGAATTGTTCCGCGGGTAGCACGGTACAGGCTGGAGCGGAGTACACAACTCATGATTCGGTTGCTACTAGCATCCACTTGATTGTGTGGAGAAGGGTCTTCGCCAAGACATCCGAGGTCTCCTTACATTGTAGCCGAGCCTTTCGTGTGCGAGCATCTTGATTCCGTCGGGTCGCATCTCGTTGAAATTTACTCCGCGTTGTGTAACAAGTCAGTAATCCGCCTGAGGTCTCATCATGAACTGCGAAATCGCTGTCGAGTCCTGGGTGTTAAATGTTGCCATCTCAGGCGTTGATAAGTAAGGTCGACTGGCCGAAAGATCTCTCGCTTATTCGAGAAGCTGTTGCTCGCCGTCGCGCCTCCCACCATATGAGATGTGAGAGAAGCGACGCCTGAGCGTGTCAACTGCAGCATGCTGAACTCGCAGCACGAGAGCAAGGCATCTTCATTTCTTCACCTTGTTCGACTTTACTATACCGAACAACGCCCTACGACCTATCAGTACCTCCTAGTCATGTCGCCAACTTAACCTCTTACTTGAACTTCCATTCAGCTGGTATTCTGCACAACAACTCCTACCACGATGTTGATCCCACTCGGACTATGGACGTTGCTAGTAGCCGCGGTCTTATCGGCGGCCATCTCGATCGATAGACCTACATTGCCAGACAGAGCGGATGTTTATCCTGGGGAACCGCCTGGACCACGTACATCATTTGTTGTAACCTCCAAGTTCTGCGTCATCCTGCTATCTGGGCTACTTGGTACGCAAGACTGCTCGCTTCATCTAGATGCAACGTACAACTGACACGAACAGGATATCGCGTTCGAATACTTGACCGCCAGCCTTTCAATCGCATAACCTTGACCCAGGTCTATGTCTTCATCCTCTACTTCCCCTCGATTGGCTTCGCTTTCTCGGCCGCAGTCGTAAATAACGGCCTAGGGCTAGGAACAAACGCTGTCTGCAAGGTCGCCATGAGACTGTGCATCGTTTTCTATGCCGGCAGTAAAGTGAGCATGTGAGGCGGTTCCTTCTAGAAAGATCATGGATGGATTGGAAAAACTAATTCCCGGCTTGGTGGATAGGTATCTCTTTCTCGTCGAGCGAGCGCACGCCCTACGAGCACCTTACATGACGCGCTATCATGATCCGTTATGGCTATACAGCACAATTGGCATCGTAGTGAGCCTCGGTACCATTGGATGTGTCGCGTTCATCCTACCGGTATTCTGGATCTCCGACGATGGACGTTGCCGCATCGGTGTCAAGCGATACACGGGCGTCCCGCTCTTGACATGCGATATCGTCATCAACGTCTACCTCACGCTTGTGTTTGTTTACCTCTTGAGCCCTTTGGTCAGAGGCGGCCAAACCTCGAGCGCCAGTTTCCCGAGCCGATTAGCACTGTGGATCGGCAATGTTTGCAGTCGGACAAAGAACAAAGCCACGCCGAACCTTCATCGATCAAACGAAGTCATGGCAAAGAAAGTCGAAACTCTGCTGTGGAAGACGTTTTGGGGAACAGTCCTTGTTATCGTGCCGACTGGCGCGAATCTTGCCTCTCTGTGCATTCTGCAGGGAAACGAACTGGCCTTTGTTCGTTGAGCTCTGAGTGAACACGAAGGCATTTACTGACGTGTTCTGGTGGCGACAGGTCTGCTATACGATTTGCACGTTGGATGGTACTTTCACCACCAGCTTGTGGTGAATCTGGCTAACCGAATGTCAACAGTCACGTGGGCTGCTGTGGTCTTCCACTGGCTCACATTGGCTGGTACCGACGAGAAAGAGGGCGGTTCTGCGGCGTGAGTAACGAGCCTTTCTTTCACTCATATCTGACATGCTGTAGGCCACCGGCACGTCAAAACACGTGTCCGCAAGTTCCACGACCTGCAGCACAGCCTCCTATGCGGAAGAAAACTTCAACGTCGGACCTTTCCTTGAACCTGTTTTCGGACGATGCAGACAAAGATGACGAAGGGAGGTTTCCAAGCAGGCCAGATCTCAGCAAAGATCACACATCGACCACGCTTCATCGGAGCCCCAGCATACGTTCAGATTCACAATGGAGAGACTCTGGTCATTCTACTCTGGTATCTGTTCCCAACAACATCGTCTGACCAGGCTGGGTGAGGTCAAAAGTCGGAGTCCTCTTCTTCGATGATGGCTTGTGAGAGCAGACCCCGCCTGCGAGGCCCAGCAACCTTTTTCAACACCACGGGCGTCGCACTCGGTGAATGGTCGATGGGTTCCTCCCTCTTCACACGCCGCGCAGCCCTGTACTCGGCGGCTGTTCTTCCCTGTTCAGGCTCCTTGGGCACGATGGGTGCGTCGATTTTGAGGGTCGATGACAGGAATCTGAAGATGACAAAGATGATGGTGCCGGTGATGCATCCTATGAGGCTGGCAGTTCCGAAGTAGACATAGAGTGTCTTTATAGATTAGTATGGTAAAGATTATGCGCAATGGATCAAGATTGAATACCTCGATCCTCTCCAACCACTTGACGCTAAATGGGATTGATAACACTCTGATGATTGACTGCCCGAGGTGGATGAAGGGTAGCAGGACGAATGTGATGACGTTGTAGAATGGAAGTAATAGGATGACGACGAGATTGATGAGTTTGTTGATGGGAAACCAAATGACGTGTGCCAGCTGCACAGCGATGCGTGCGACGACTGAGAAGACGGTGCTCGCGTCCATATCCGCGCGGGCAGATGTGTTGACGCGTTGGTGGTGGACGGGCGCGACTCACGATACAGGGCCGACTGCCCCACGATAGGTGTCATTGGCTCGTGCATTGAGCTATCGGCGATGGGTGCAGCCATGGAAATGCTAATCCCTGTGAGGCGCTGCATGCAATCCAGCGGCCGGGGCCAGCTCCAGCTCCAGTCCTGTAACGTCGCCCTCGTGCACATCCAGCGGGCGTATCCATGGGGAACCAGAATTCGCGGTCGACGACGCCGACGTCGAACCCGGCCTCGCCCACCAACAACGTGACTGCATCACATGGCCACGGCAATCACAGCGGCGGCCACGGGCACGAGCGACCCCAACACCACCACCACCTGCCGCACCTTCACCCGCCGCACAGCCAGCACCACAGCGCCCGCCGCCGCGAGTCGATCCAGGCGCTGAGTGCGGCCAAAGCCCCCGCGGCTCCCAGCGTGAGCCTCGTCGATGCTGAGAGCCATCCCACGTCGACCCGCCCCATCTCGCGTGGGAGAGCGCAAACCGTGGGAACTAGCACCAGGGCCATTACCTCGCAGCTGCAGGCCGCCCAGGACCACTACAACAACAACCACGCCGCCCGCAACCACTCGGCCCACCACGACGCCGCCATGGGCAACGAGCAGAGCAGCCAGAAGGGCGCCCACTTCCGCAGCGACAGGGACAAGGACAAGGACAAGGACAAGCAAGCCCATGCCGCCTCCCGCGATGCGACTCCCCCGCAACCAGCGCCTGTACCCGACGCAGCGCCCATGGACCCAGCGCCCTCGACAGAAACCTCACCCCGCGCGCCCTCGCCCACCGCCCCCGTCGACGTCCCCTCCGCCCTCGCATCAAGCTCCTCCCCACCCCTCACCTCCGCCATCCCCTCCTCCCTCGACCCAGCCTCCGCCTCCGACTACCTCCCTCCCGCATCCCAATTCTCGCGCCCACCGCGCCTCCCCCTCCCCATAGAAGAAGAAGTACACACCCCCGGCAGCCCCATCATCTCGCCCCAGGAGATATGGACGCCCGTCCACGAGAGCGACGCCGATGGCATGTTGCCGCGCAGATCGAGTATGCTGAGTACGACGACGGCGGATGATGAGGATCTGGGCGAGGAGTTCAAGGGGCCGGGGCAGGGGAGGCCGACTGTGCCGACGCTGATTGAATGGGAGGGGAGTGGGGAGAGGGTTTATGTCACCGGGACGTTTGCGGGGTGGAATCGGAAATATAAGTTGCATAGGAAGTAAGTGGTTTCGATTTCTTGGGGTGTCTCAGGCATGATTGGTGGGACAGTCATGCGCCTGGCTAGAACGGTAGATGCAGGCAGACGTAT